AATAAGATAAATAATATAGTGAATGGTAGCCTCAAAAGAATAGGAAGAAACCGTTTATCGCTTTCTTTCTCAAATTTTGAAAATGCAAATGCATTTTTAAATAATAGTCACTTAGAAACACATAATTTTAAGGCATTTATACCTTCTTTCCATGTAACCCGTATGGGAATTGTGAGGGGTATTCCTAAAGATTGGACAGAAGAGGAAGTAATCCAAAATATATCAGTACCTATAGGTTGTGGGAGAATTCTAAAAACCAGAAGAATTAAGAAAAAGACCATTAATGAAGGACAACCAAGTTTTATTAATACTGAAACCATTGTTATTACTTTTGATGGACAAATATTACCAAAAAGAGTATTTATGTTTTACACATCATTAACTGTAGATTTGTACATTTACCCCACTATCCAATGCTATAACTGCTGTAGGTTCGGACATGTCAAGATGCAGTGTCGTTCAAATCCTCGGTGTTATAAATGCAGGCAAAATCATACAGGTGATAAATGTGAAGTAGATGAGGAAAATGTTTCTTGTATCTTGTGTAATGGTTCTCATTCAGCAATTAGTAAGAAATGTCCTGAATATGCACGTCAGAAAGCCATTAAAGAAACAATGGCCCACAGTTGTGTTTCTTATGCTGAAGCATCAAAATTTCATCCTCCCACTTCTAAACTATATTCAGATGTATTAACATCATCATCTCCGTCCAATAAATCTCATTTTCAATCTTCTTTCCTCAAAGAGAAATCATCATTACCACATATTCAATCATCACATAAAAAAACAGTTACACTTAAACCACGCTCTCCTCAAAAAGCACAACAAGGATATGATCGTTCTGCCCATGAAGCCATAGTTAAGGAATATAATATTCCTGCTCCCTCTAATGGTTGTGCATTATCATCAAATAATATTGACAATAATCAATCCATCTTTGATATTATTCTCATGCTTATTAAAGTGTTATCGCAATCGAAAATGATACAAACAACTTTACCACCGTCCAACGATGCCATTTACAATGTATTTTCTCAATTATTAACTTCTCACAATGGATTACAAAGTCCTAATAATTCAGTGGAACTGTCGTAGCATAACAAACAAGAAATCAGACTTATTTTATTTGATTAATAAATATAATCCTTTTATAATAGCTCTCCAAGAGATTTGGTTAAAGCCAGGATATCCTTTTCGGATTTCAGGCTTTACAAGTCTCCGTGATGATAGAGCTGACGGATATGGCGGTGTTGCCATATTGGTCAAAAACTCCCTTCCTTTTTCTTCTTTTTCGCTTCCTGTATATAGCGGCATTAATGCAGCTGCTATAATTATAAATGGTATCTGTTTTGTTACTTTATATATTCCTGATCCTACATGCCAAATATATTCACAACTAGAACAATTATTTTCAATTTTACCTAAACCTTTTCTCGTAATGGGCGATTTTAATGCTCAACACCAATCGTGGGGCAGTTCTACTTCTAATTTTTATGGTGGAAAACTCCTGACGATAATTGACACTTACAACTTATGTATTATTAACTCAGATGTACCAACACGTAGAACTGCACCGAATGAAGGGTTTAGTGCTCCTGACATTTCAATATGTTCTTCTGATTTAGCTTCTTCACTGTCGTGGTATCCTCATTCCTCTACTTTCGGAAGCGATCACTTTCCCCTCATTCTTTCTTTTCCAATTTCCATTCCCTCAAGTCGAAAGAGTGGTCCTCGGCTTAAATATAATTTATCAAATGTAGACTGGAATATTTACAAACAATATTTAGATAATAAAATATCGGAGTTACCTATTGTTTACCATGGAAATGAACATCAATGTTGTAATGACTTGATGATAAATATGAAGGAGGTTGCTGATTTATTATTTCCTGTTAAAAATAGTGCTTCAGGGAAAATTCCCTCGCCACCTTGGTGGGACAAAGATTGTACGGAAGCAATTAAAAATCGTAAAGAGGCTGAAAAAAATTATAATAATTACATGACACCAGAAAATTTTGAAATTTACACCGCAGTTTCACGTTCTACTCGAAAACTACTGAAAAAAAGAAATTAGAAGGCTGGAGAAGATTTTGTTCTTCTATCTGTCCAGAAGTTAATTCATCAGTCGTTTGGAATAATATTAAAAGATTCAGATCTGCCTTTAGTGATCATACATCACGTTCTGCACTCGATTTAACTTTAGCGAATAAATTTTTAGATCGTCTTGCTCCTAGTTATGTGCCGGAATGCCTTTACAATATTTCTCTATCCGTCTCTGACGAATTATTCGAACTTGACTCTCCTTTTACTCTAGTAGAACTTAAAGGTGTTCTAGCTTCTATTAAAGACTCTACACCGGGAGAAGACGGTATACCGTATTCCTTTTTTAAAAATGCTAGCGATGCGACATTAATTTACTTTTTAAATATAATTAATTCCATAATTATTTCGGGAAATATACCTACTTCATGGAAGTCTCAGATTATTATACCATTTCTAAAGCCTCATAAACCACCTTCTGAACCATCTTCATACCGTCCTGTTGCACTTTCCTCTGTCTTACTAAAGCTAGCTGAACATTTAGTGAAAAACCGTCTAGAATGGTTTTTAGAAAGTAATAACTTACTATCCCCGAACCAGTTTGGTTTTAGGAAAGGTAAGAGCACCTTAGATAATGTGAGCATTCTTATTTCAGATATTCATATAGCTTTCTCACAAAATTTGTCAATCCTCTCAGCCTTTTTAGATATAAATTCTGCCTATGATAATGTAATAATTTCTATTTTAAAAACTAAATTACAAGCTCTAAATGTACCGGTAATGCTTTCTAATTTCATTATTAATATTTTATCAGAAAGAACAATATATATGAATTTAGATGAAGATACCAAATTATCTAGAACAGTATGGAAAGGCCTTCCACAAGGATCTGTTCTCAGTCCAATCTTATTTAACATATACACATACGATCTAGAATTATTCCTTGATAAATCCGTCAAAATTTTACAATATGCTGATGATCTTTTATTATATTTTATTGCGAAGTCCATAGAATCTGCTTCTGCCAAATTATCTGATTCATTAGATTTGTTAAAAACGTGGTTAGATGCAAATGGTCTTAATCTTTCTGTAACCAAGAGTAGTGTAGTTTTGTTTTCAAGAATGAGATCACCGCAACAAATTAAGGTGCTTTATGATAACTCATACATTCCTATAAAGACTGAAATTAAATTTTTAGGTATCGTGCTAGATAATAAATTAACAGGTCTGTCCCACTGTAATTATATTTCTACGAAATGTGAGCGTAACCTCAACATTCTTAGGTGCCTTGCTGGAGTTTGGTGGGGAGCACATCCCGTTTCACTAAAACTTGCTTATAATGGTCTTATAAGGAGTGTCATTGATTATGGAACTTTTTTGTTAGCTCCAGGAAGTTCATTTGCTTTTAAGAAATTGGATTTAATTCAATCAAAGGCCTTGAGGATTATCTCTGGAGCAATGAAATCAAGTCCAATCAATGCTTTACAGCTCGAAGTCGGTGATCCACCTTTGGTTTTAAGAAGACAATATCTATCTGATCGCTTCTTTTTTCGTTGTTTACAATTATCTGATCATCCACTTATTCAAAAGTTATCTCAACTACATATCTTTATTTCGTCTTCATCTTATTGGAAACATAAAAAACCTCCATGTTTAATACAAAGTTATGAAAAATATAAATCCATAGAATCTCCCACTTTTACATCGTCCTGTTTTCCCATTTATAAATGCTCATATCAATCTTTAGTTTTATCTCCTAATATTAAATATGATTTTGGGTTATTAAAAAATGATTCAGAATTGAATGCCAAATTTATGTTTATAACTGACATTGAATGGAATGAATGGCACTACATCTTTACTGATGCATCAAAACCAGACAATAGCGGTTGTGTAGGTGTGGGTGTGTTTCATTCACAATTTAATATCGTTCAAAAAATTAAACTTCCACCGGAGTCTTCAGTTTTTACCGTGTATTTTAGAAGCTGTAGAATATATACTTTTAATGAAATTACATAAGGCAATAGTTTTCACTGACTCTATGAGCTAAGCTCTAGCCAAATATCCGTTTAAATCAAAACCAGTTTATCCCATTATTTGTGACATAAGACAAAGTCTTTATCTTTGCATTTGAGAGGTTATTCCGTTTCTTTTGCCTGGTTACCAGGACACAGTGGTATTAGCGGCAATGACAAAGCTGACCTTATTGCAAGAGAGGCTGTAACTTGTGGTGATATGTATCCGTATCATAATTACTGTAGTGACCTAAAAATATATTTAAGGTATGCCTGGAAGGAATATTGGGAAAAAACAAGTACAATAAAAGGAAGATTTTATCGCCTTATACAACCCGATATTCCTTTCAAACCATGGTTTTGTAAATTAAAGCTTGGAAAGACCGCAACAACTATTATAACTCGTATGCGTCTAGGTCACGTATGCACACCTTCTCATTTATACAAGCTTGGTATTGTACAAAGTTCGTCGTGTAATTGCGGTGCTGAAGTGGCGGACTTGAATCATATATTCTTCTCATGTTCTAAATTTGACCACACCTTTTTTAATCATCTCCGATCCATCCGTGTTCCACTCCCAACTTCTATTCTTACTCTACTTTCTTCCAATGATCCTATTATCTATAAAATACTATCTTCATATATATATGATAACAATATTAAGATTTAGTTATATTACATGAATACATTTATAGTTGCATCAATTGCTTTTCCTATATATTTATAAGTATATTCTCATATGTACAAGTATGTGTTTCATATCCTATAAATATCTTAGACCTAATCCTTATCCTTTCTAAATTCGTTTGTGTTAGGTATTTTTATTACTATTATCGTTTCCCCGTTTTGTTCTTGGCAAAATACCCTAATATCAGGGGTGAACGCCACAAAAAAAAGAAAAAAAAAAAAACGAAGATGTCAAGTTTGTCAAATGTAATTGTCAAAATACTGTGATGGATCTGTGAATTGTTTGTTTGTAAGAAAAACTTGTTAGAAAGTATTAACGAGCAAATAAAAAAGAATTAAATAACAATATCAGATAAAAGCAATATATCTATAAAATCAATTTAAAAAGAAACATCAGTCATTGGACATTATTCATCTAAGTGGTTAGCCTTGAAGTAGATGTCATCTATTATCTTAAATGAGTGTTGTTTATTTTACATTTTAGTGATATTAGTTGTCAATTCACGATTATATGGCTTTGATATTTGACTTATGTTTCACAACATTTGGGAAGAGGCATGTTTTATCCACGCATTCGGGAAAAAGGTGCAGGCTTAATAGTTCTCAGTTGGACTTGCCTGGCTGTGCTGTGCGCCGCGTCCACAGCACCCTGCGACAAAACCCGCAGGGTCTTCACACAGCCCAGCGGCATCATCACCGATGGACCAAGCAACTCTAATTATACACAAGTCAGTTACACACATTGGAATTCACAACATAAAGACTGAATGAAATATTAATATTTCGGATATTTTTTAGGATTCCCATTGTGAATGGCTGATCAAAGCTTCAAATAAAACTCAATATATAACTTTGAGTTTTATTCGCATGGGTACAGAATGTTCCTATGATTATGTATTTGTTTATGATGGTGATTCCTTTGATGCTCCACTACTTGGAAGTTTCAGTGGAAAAACTGAACCACAAAATGTTACGGCTTCTAGTGGTTATGTGAGTAAAATATGTAAATTTTACTGTTACAGACTCCTATAAATCCTACATGTGCTAGCATCTTATTGCATTGTTCCAGATGTTAATACTTCTCTATAGTGATACAAATTATGTACTAGATGGATTTCGGGCCACATATGCTATACACAATTGTCCGAACAACTGCACAGGTCAGGGCGAGTGTGTCTCTAATAAGTGTTTCTGTGAAGGAAAATGGGGTGGACCTGATTGCAGTGTTAGATTATGTCCTAATGAATGCTCAAATAATGGACAATGTAAAGGAGATAGATGCATTTGTAAGAAAGGGTAATTATTTAAACTCACTTGTTGTCTTTTCTATTAATAACACTTAATCATATACAGTGTTTTATTATGAGTATTTAATTATATGTTTCATTTACACTGAGTTAAACAATTTTTTTCATATAAAAGAATATAGTGTGTTATGACAGTTTTTCAATCAAAATTATTCACAAACTAGTTACTTTTTTTGTTTTCATTTAATACAAAAATCCACAATACCACATTATTAAGAAATAATAACTTACATGCTAAATATCTTATAAATACAGCTAATAATGAATTTTAATTTTATAAACGAAAATTATAAGTCCTTAACAGTGTGTGTGAAAGAAATAATAACAATGAGTATCAAGTATTAAATTAGATAAAACCTATGTTCCTGCAGTTCATTATTTGTTATTACAGTTTTTACTCACTTTTTATAATTATGTATATACTATATATTTTATAATAATGTATATTTACTAGAAAATATAATATAGAAATGTTATTATTTTATTGTTCCTTTAATATTATAAGCTTATGCTTATAATAGCACTTATATACTAAAGTATCATCATACAATCAACTTAGAACTTTTAGGGGTTTAAGAGTTGGGTGAAACTATAACAAGCTGGATCGTAAGAAAGTAATATAACATATTTGAAATATTTACATACACACAAATATGAATTACTTATTTAGCAGACACATTGTAAATATTCAGTTTTAATTACAATGTTACTTTGGACTCAAGGATAATGTCACACTTATTTTAATAGTCTTTGTAATGTAATACTTATTTCTTTTAGATATTCAGGGGATTCATGCTCTTTAAAAAGTACAGACAAAGAGGGCAACAGCTGGCATTGGCTCTCTCGTACAGAGAGTGGTATGACTAGGAGAGCGGCCCACTCTGCTGTTTATGTCAATCATACTGACTCTCTATATGTATTTGGAGGATATGATCTAAATAAAGTTCTAGGTTTATTGGAGGTTTATAGGTGAGTAATTCATAAATTTAATATTAAGTTATATATATAACTAGCTGTATTCCCCCACTTTATTTGTGGTCGTAACATAACATTAAACAGTCTGTAACCTTCAAGAAATGTCCTATTAAATACAAAAAGATTTTTTCAAATCCAACAGGTGGTTCAAGAGTAGCGTTCAATCAAACTTTTCTGTTTTATCATATTAGTATAATAATTAAAATATTACACACTTTTATGTGACATGATTTTTAAATATTTTTTTATTTACTGTAAATTTCAAATATGCTTATATCTCACCTAATGAAAAGTGGTAACTATAGTCTCTATATGTAATATAAAAATAATACAAACCACTTGTTGCTAGTCCTGATCAGTAAGCTATTATATTTTGTTACAGTTTTTCTACTAGTCAATGGTATGATGAAAATGGAAAAGTTGTGCGAAGATATCCCACAAATGAAGAAATTGACAAGACATTATTGACTCTGTTCAAGAAGGTTAGCATAAGTATTTTTATATATTAAAAAAAATACCAATTTATGTCTGGTAAAAATTGTATTTATGAATCTCAGTTTGTATTGATACCTATATATGTGTAATTACTCATATATATGGAAACACTTTCTTTTGGGAATAGAATTATGATGATTATTATTTTTTTTTTTTTATTAGAGAATACTTAGGAAGAATTGTCTGATCTTGCAGAATTATATTAAAATAGTTGTACAATATAGAAATAATAATAAAAATATTATTATATTTTAATAATTATAAAACCTTGCAGGGCATTCTTAATGATAGTTGGCACATAGGTAATGGAAGCTCGTTATTTACATTAATTCTGTCATCCTTTTCTAACAATGACAAAACCACATTTCCTGGTATGCATACTCATTCACCTACACCATATTCAGAGAGTTATCTACATTTTACTGATAGACCAGAAATGTTTAGTTCAATGAAATCAAATTATACAAAACCTGAGCCAAGATATGGTCACTCTGCCTGTGCATTTGGAACGGGTTTTGTGCTTTATGGAGGAAAACTATCTGATGGAAGTCTCTCTTCGGAGTTGTGGTTTTTTAATGCAATAACAAATAGGTGGACTTTGCGGGCAGTCAATTCAACATTCACTCCACCTGGACTTACACGACATACTCTGACTGCTGTCAAAGATGAGTTATACCTTTTTGGAGGGAGTACAGTGGAAGGGGAATTTTCTTCAAGGTATTTTTATAAAATTTATAAGTATATAACTTGTATGCCTTTTATACTTACCTCATAAATTTGGATAATATTAAATGTTTGTTATTTTTCCAGTATGTATAAAATAAAATTAGGAGATGTGAATACAGAATTTTGGGAAAAAGTTCAAGTCAGGGGTGGAAAGGAGTTGGATGTTCGTGTTGTAGCACATACAGCTGTTTATCACCCACATTCTAACTCAATTTTAGTATACGGAGGTGTTGTTGCTAGCGTTGCAAGGTATGTTTCTAAAAATATTCTAATTCATCTACAGTGTAGCTGGTATAGAAAAACTCCCATATATTTAATATTAAAATTACTTTCAGATTTTCAAAATTGTCAGATAGAATGTTTGCGTTTGATATAGACTATAGGCATTGGAGTGAAATACATTACCCAAGAGCACATTTAAGAGATACATATGTCCCACGAGAAAGAGCATTTCACACTTCTACTATTATTGGTAAATATGTTAAAAATATAAATCGGAATTTGAACCATATTATGTTTTTTTTTTTATATAACATGTTTATTATCTTCAGGAAACTATCTGGTTGTTTTCGGTGGCTACTCCCATAGACATAACAGAGAGGAAATATGTTACGATGGCCAAATGTATCTGTATCATCTCGGGTGCCATTCATGGATTCCTTTGGATGTGTTGGGGAAAACACCGAAATTTTATCCAAAAAAACAGGGAGTGTTCGCTCATGCAGCTGCTTTGAAACCCCCGTCTACCTTGCTAATAGCCGGAGGATATCACGGCAATGTCAACGGTAAGGAAATTATGTTAATAATAACTTGATCATTGCTGTGACATTGCGTCGTTATGAAAGTGTTTTGTACTTGATTATAATTCTTGTAATACAGAAAAAAGAGGTCAATGGTTTTTACATAGTTTTTTATTACCAAACAGGTCTTGTATTGTTTATTACATGAAGCCGCTTATAAATATTTTCTTATTTCATTCCCATTTATTCAAGTTTATTGCGTTATTTGTGTATTTTGAACATGAAACATGTAAAATATGTATGTGTATGATTTTTTCTTTCAGGAGATCTACTTGCATATGTTGTCCCTAGTTGGCAGGCAGGAATTACTAATAATAATCCTGAGTCAGCGTGTCCGCGACATCAGACACAACCGGAATGTCTTGCAGATCCTGAATGTGGCTGGTGTTCTGCTGACGACGTTTGTATACCTACAGTTTTTAAACATTTTATTTATTAGCTTTACCATATTTAAAGTGAACGTTATATACGATAATAATAATGGAAGATAGTGCCTTTGTAATAGCTAAATGTTGTGTTGTTTTGTATAATTTTTAGATATGCTACGGAAGAACAATTGGTTCAAATTGCACAACAAATTTGCAATCAATACGGTGTGGAGGCATCTGCCCTGCTCTAGGCGATTGTCACTCTTGTCTCATCCATGGACCACCACTAGGGGAGAATAGTACACGAACTGCATTGCCCTCTGTGAGCACCAAATTAGGTTTATTCAAATGCAGTTGGTGTGTTCAGAATGCTCGCTGTCATCATAAGAATGGTAATATTTAAATTGAATATACAGATAAAATTACACTAAATGACTAAAAACACTTGAGTTGTCAAATTTAAATGTTCTTTTATTTAAATTAAATAAAGTATGTCAGGTCACTCGATCTCTCTGTTTTGAGTTGAAATAAACAAATATTTTCCGCATTCGGGCGGTTCTGTTATTTAAACCGTAGGTAACACAGTAAAAATATGTTTGATTGGATACTTTGGTATATCTTTATATTTATATATTTGGTGCCTATATGTAAATGATTTAAACCACACTCTATGGATATGTAAGTTTTCATTAATAAGACTTTTTTACTAATATAATAAAATTGTAACTAGACGTTGTCTGTAAATGGGAGATATTTAAGAAAAAAAATATATGAGGGAGCTTACTAATCAATAGAAGTCACAAGAATCATCATCAGCCATTATCTGTCTTCTCCCATAGCCTGAACATAGGCTTCTCTCATAGGTTGTCAAAGGATAATTTTTAGAAGTTTTGTCTTTCTATATGGTTATTCCGACATCACGCACAAACTACTACTACTGCACCAAATTGGATGCGGTTTTCGTATGTGTGTTCATGAAGGTCTAACTTAAAATCTGGTATATGTCTCGTTTAGAAGTGAAATATTTAATCGGTTTCCTATTTTTAAAATTTACGCGAAAAAAGTAGCGAGCGAAAGTAGTTAGGTTAGGTTAGGAATGTATGAAGTACGATATGTAGGAAGTATTAAATACAATTTATATAATCTCATTTTTGTTAACTAGAGACATTAATGTAAAAACGAGATGTAAAATGTTTTTAGATAATTATGGCGTCTGTGGTGAAGACACCCCTTCGGAAAATCCAGGTTGGTGGGGTACGACGGGCACCGAAGTAACAATTCCAGAAGAATGTAAAGTTTTAGATAAACGTCCTGGTCTTACGTTTTTGAGATACCAGCAGCCCGCTGACTGGAGTCACCCAGACGCTGTATCAGTAGTAAACGCAACCACAGTTGATTGGGGAACAGGAGGAGGAAGCAATCATATATTTAGTGGCTCAAGTGAAGCCAGATTAAGAGGTTGGCTGCATATACCGCAATACTGGAATGGAACAGGAGAAACATTGCATATATGTGCGGGTTACTCGAATATATCATTGAAATTAGGAGATAATAGCGGCTCGGCAGCTAACTTAACAGCACAGCCATCAGCGTGTTCTCTAGTCGATTGGCCGACCTTGTTTCCGGGGCGACTCTCAGTTGATATGCATGCTAATGATTCACTGCACACAGGCTTATATCCGTCTCACCATCATGCCAAAATGGAATTGCTTCATAATAAATCACAAGAAAATGCAAAGGTTATTTTTGTTGTTTATTATTTTAGGTAAGTTTATACAACGTCATACTTTTTTTATAATATAAACTTGTTATTGTTTCCAGGTATTCACATTTGAATTCTTGGAACCCTACTCGGACGGACAGTGTTCGAACTATGGTAACTGCTTACTGTGTCTGTCGGATGCAGCATGTGGGTGGTGCGAATTGACGAATCGCTGTGAGCTGAGGAATACTGACGAAACAGTCGTGTGCGCTGCCGACGGTGAATGGAGGTACCTTACCCTTCAACCTGCTGCCTGTCCTAATTGTTCCAACTATATAAGCTGCGAGCGTTGCGTAGCCGGTAATTACTGTGAGTGGTGGGCGGACGAGGCACGCTGTGCACGTCGTGGCCGCGCCGGTGGTGCTATACTCGACAGCAGTGAATGTCCGGCACCCTGCCGGCTGCGGCTGGATTGTGAGCATTGCCTTGACGAGCGTGGCCGCTGTGTTTGGTGCGAAGCTACGCGCCAGTGTTTTAGTTTTAGTGTTTACACCAGCGAGTATCAGTTCGGACTGTGTCGCGAATGGCTCGACCGGGCGTCCACTCCGGCCGATGATGCTGCTCGGAAATCTGGACAATGTAAATCATGCCAGGGTCATACACAGTGTTCTACATGTCTACGAAGCATGGGCTGCGGTTGGTGCCACTCTCACGAGAACCCGATTAATGGAATGTGTACTGAAGGAGATTTTACGAGAGCTCATGTAGATTGTGCTTCTCTTTTAAATGTTACGTCGGCTGATGCAGGATGGGCTTATGCACAATGTCCTGACGTCGATGAGTGTGGACTTGGCCTTCACGATTGTCACGAGCATGCAGTGTGTAACAACACTCATGGATCATATACATGTAAATGTAAACAGGGTTACATAGGTGATGGTAAAAAAAGTTGTATGCGGACTTGTTATAACAATTGCATACATGGATATTGTCTTGGACCTCCACAGTACAAATGCTATTGTGATCTAGGATGGACTGGGGCGGATTGTTCTATAAATTGTGGTTGTCACAATCACTCTACATGTCGAACGGGTGTTGGGCGTTGTGACGAATGCCAGGATTGGACTGAGGGAGAGTTTTGTGAAACATGCAAACCTGGCAGCCATGGGAATGCTACTACTGGACAGGGATGTCGACGTTGTGATTGTAATGACCATGGTGATGAAACAAAGGGCATTTGTGATGTGACAACAGGCGAATGTATTTGTAAAGATAACACAGAGGGGCAGAATTGTGAACGATGTAAGTCCAAATTTTATGGTGATCCTCGGCATGGTGGCAGATGTTACTATCAGTGTGAACCTAGAGGGATGTTAAATGCTTCTGATACAGAAGGCATTGGTTCCTACAAGACAGATCCAGACATTAAAACAGTAGGGCCCTCCAAGGAATGCCTTTGGATTATATCTGCTGAAGACATTAAAGATGCTATTATTCAGTTCACGATAAACTCGTCTACTTTTGATGTGCCATGTGATGAGAATGCAGTGTATGTGTACGATGGACTTGGAGGTGTCCCAGATATGAGCAATAATCAGCAAAGTCAATTACTAGGTGTTTTTTGCAATGGAGCATCTTCGGGGGTTGTAGAAGCAAGAAGTGGAAATCTAACTGTCCATTACAAACAAGGCCAACCAGAACAAGGTTTCGAAGGTGTATATAAAGTATTAGCATGTGACGGATACTGTTCTTGGCCTAGAGTTTGCAATAAAAGGCATTGTGTATGTAGAGAAGGCTATGGAGGAACAGATTGTGAAGTTGAGATTTGCAGAAATAATTGTAGTGTTGCAATTAATGCAGGTATATGCGACACAAGTTATGGCCGATGTCTTTGCAATGACGGTTATGGGGGAGCTGATTGCTCTGTTAAACTAGATAAAACACAACTAGTCTTTACGGAGCTTTTTAACTCTGAATATTTATCTGAAGGCCTAGATCATCTTCGGAAAACATTGCCTAGATTTGGTCACAGTTTAGTTGCCGATAGACGAGGATTATGGATGTTCGGAGGTTATTCTCTTTCACATGGTCCATTGAATGATATAAGGTTTTTCGATACCAAAAATAATACTTGGATGCAAGTTACAGTAGAAGCTACTCCAGATGCTAAAATGCCTGAAGGTCGATATTTTCATGCTGCTGAAATCTATCATTCAAAACAAAATATTTATATTTTCGGTGGTCTCAGTTTGCAAGACAAAAGCGTTCAAAATAAAACACTAGGCGATTTCTGGCAATTCAGTTTAAAAGATCAAAGATGGGGTAATATTAAAAGTAAAGACGATCAACCACCACCTCTTGCTGGTCACACATTAACATTACAAAAATATCAAGACTATGAAAGCTTGGTTTTAATCGGAGGGTTTTCATTAGAGCAAGGGTTTATGGCCGATATGTGGGAATTCGATCTTGATAACGACAAGTGGATAAAATTAAATTGCGAAGGTGCTAAGCCGGCGGGAATAATCGGGCACAGTACTGTATATCATGCTCCCTCACAAAGTTTGTATGTATATGGAGGCATACTATATGCATATAATGGTACAATGATGTCCAATAAATTGTTTTCTTTTCATTATCCTACAAAGAAATGGAGTGAGTTGCCGACATTTCCTAATCTAAATCATTTCCACGATAACTTACCACAAGCCACATATTTACATTCAGCAGTGACCACAAATGAATATATGATTGTATTTGGAGGCAGAACTTATCCCGATCATAGAACTGATACTCTTATTGCTTACGTGTACAGCTGTAACCAATGGGTTAGACTTGTTAAAGGTTAGTTTTAATTTGTTGACTTAAATTATATGTATTTTATTATATTGATATTGCTTTTAACAGTTATTACTTTTTCAGGAGTGAGCATAGTAGGACATCCACCACCGCCGACAATAGCGCATGCAATGGCTATCGATATTGAATCAGAGAATGAAGGTTATATTTATATAATAGGTGGGTGGACGGGAAGCGCAGATTGTCAGGTTACACGCATATCTCTGCCAGACGATTTATGCTCTTTATGGAGTGCCAGCAAAATGGAATGTCGTAGTCATATGGGCTGCAGTTTTTGTAGTACTGGGAATTATACAAAATGCTATTCTGTGGATAAACCTGGCTGTGAAGGAAGCGATCGGGTATCCACCAACTCTGGTTCATCCTGCGATGCAGAATTAGTTTCACGACGAGCATGCGAAAACTTTACCACTTGTACGTCTTGTTTGGCTGCTTGGCCTTTATACCCAGAAGAAAAGCCAGCTTGCCGTTGGTGTGAATCCTGTGCTGCTGCTGTTGGTTAGTATTCGTATATCTAATAATTTATAATAATAAAAATGACATTATTAACTATGACTTTTTTATTTCACCGCAAATTTTACAACACTATTTCTATTTTAGGCGAATGTGTACCAACTGATGAATCATGTACAAGCATCAAGTGTAATGCTGGTACAACATACATTAGTGACGTCGATCAATGTCCAGAACTGAGATGTGTGGCGTCCGACTGCGAAAAATGCGTGACTAATCAATGCACATGGACTCGATTAGCCAGTAGGGAAGGTATATTTTTAATTTATTTTTTCTTTATGTTAAGCATACTTCGAAATAATGAGTATAAACTAATGTAACAATTATTTCAGGCCAACTGACCCAGATATCTGAGGATCCCCTGGAGCCGTTCAATTGGACGTGTGCGTCTATCGAAGAGGCCGGGCGAGCGAGCCTGAGGCCAATGGCACGGGAAGAGTGTCCGAGCCGGTGTCATACGTATGTGGACTGTCAGTCATGTCTGAGCGCGGACGGGGCAGAGGGCGGCTTCTCCGAGTGTCACTGGGCTACATACCTAGGCAAGTGTATATCGCCGGCGCATCAGCCCGTGTACTGCGCGGGTGGCGTATGCGGCCTGGTGCTCACGAAGGCCGACAAGAACAAGTGCCCGGCGCCGTGCGGCACGTTCGAGCAGTGCAGCGAGTGCCTGCACCACTCTCACTGTGGCTGGTGTGCGCTTGCCGGCGCCAACGGGGAGGGAGTGTGCACAGAGGGTTCGGTCGAGTCACCGCTTGACTACTCAACGAAGACCACGTGCGCCGCTGTTTACGACGCCGCGCACCGCCCGCGCGATCTCAATGATTCGTTCTCGTGGCACTACACGCGTTGCCCTCCAGAGAACGAGTGTGAAAACAACCATCATCAGTGTAAAGCAGACTCTGAGGTGAGTGTAACTGTTACTATACTACTCTTACGCTATAACCAGTAAACAAATATAATTTTCATCATTTTATTATTGAAGTTACGGCTGTTATGTTGGTATTGTATATATCATTTAATATAAAATGCTATAATCAAAATATGTTAGATAAATAACTTACATATAATATATTTTAATGTAGTTAATACATATTCATAGTAAGATTGTACTCTACCTTAACAAAACAATACAATCGAACAGTAAGCGATCATAATAATTAATCAATAACAATAATAAAAAAATATTTAAACAAAATAATTCTAATCAAATAATAACCAGTGATATGGACTTCAGTAAGATATTTATAAACTTTTGGGCAAAGTTCATCAAGTTATACATTTAGAGGACACCATATGACTATATCGGTATATGAGATTAAATTACTCGTATTATTCGTTGCAAACATGAAACAATTTAAATAATAGTAACAATATAATTCAAGATTTTATAATCAATATTGTTTTAGAATCGCCGAAGATATCGCATATTGCGCTGAAGGGGGGGTTAAAAAACGCATGTTAAGCGAATCGTAGTAGGATTCGTTTTGGATAATCATGATGTACAAGGGTATTTTTTAATGGATGATAATGGTATAGTAACTCCACCTGCGCTGTCAGTATACACTGGCGGGGCGTCAGAGAGGGTTGATTGGTAAGGATGAATGTACAAGGGTTGGGACTGGCAGGTGTGTCGCGACCTGCCCGAGGGCTACGAGTGCGCGTGCGGCGCGGGTCACCGGCGCGCCGCGGGCGGCGGCTGCGCGGCCGTGTGCGCGCAAGGCTGCGTGCGCGGCGCATGCGTCCAGCCTGACGTGTGCCGCTGCGACTTCGGCTACGTCGGCGCCAACTGCACCATCCAGTGCCAGTGCAACGGCCACTCGCACTGCGAGGGGCCCGACAAGCTCGACAAGTGCATCCAGTGTCACAACAACACCATGGTACCGCCTACCTGAACGTTATATTTACTTTTGATGTCATTAGTTAGCATGCAACCTAACCTGTGAGAGAGACCTGTCAGCCTTCACATTATCCTCCGTAGCAGTAGCTAACTCTGTAAAAATCCATTGTTATAAAAAAAAAACAATAAATGTGACGAAAATAAGTACTCACATGTTAAACAAAAGCTAAGTATTTTTGCCTAACTCATTTAAAATTAATTAAAAGTTTTTTTTTACTATTGCTCCATTACTTATGACAACTTCGAAAGTTTAATAATCTGTTTTAACTAATGAAATATTCTTCTACTGTTATTCTAAATTCTCGATTTAAAAAAAATAACAAATATTTTGATAATTCACATAAGTCTAGGTTTTTACTCTAAAAGAGTCAAAACATTTTTATATGTTTTATGAATGTGGTGTTTCTAACACACCGTTATTGTTGGGTCGGGTGGTGTAGGGTGAGCAGTGCGAGAAGTGCCAGCCGAACTTCGTGGGCGACCCGACCAACAACGGGCAGTGCGTGCCGTGCTCGACGTTCTGTCACGGACACACGTCGGTGTGCACGAGCGAGCCGGCGGAAGGCACGAGCGCGGGCGCGGCGGAAGGCGAGGAGTACTACCGCGAGCGCGACGGCGGGCCGCGCGCGCGCTGCCTGCGCTGCGCCAACCGTACCGACGGGCCGCGCTGCGAACGTTGCCTCGAGGGCTACTTCCGCGGCACCGAAGACTTCCGCGACCCCTGCCGCCCGTCAGTCTATACCTTGCCTGATTCTTTTTTGATACTTAGAATAGCAAATGAACTGATGGCCTACACAATAAAAAATCATAAAAAATACATTCTGGTTTGTGATGTCCATTGTACATCCTCATGTGTTGCACTCCTGAAGAGAGTGGTGTTTTTTTTGATGGGTGAAAATGGTAGTGAAAGGTGATAGATGAGAATGAAAACAGGCTTTTCTTAAAGGCTTTGTGTTACTATTGCGAAAATATACGGTTGTTTTTATAACTTTATATTACCAGTCGTGTTGGTGATTCAGTAATTTGTGTAATAACTAAATTTAAATAAAATACTGGTGCGCTCCAGGTGTGAATGCCACGGACACGGCGACACGTGCGATCCGGTGACCGGCGAGAAGTGCAACTGTGGCAACAACACTGAAAGCGACATCTCGTGTCAGACCGCCAGCTCCAGCAAGAACTCTGCGCAGGAATGCTGGCGCTACCAGTGCGTCAAGTGCAAAGATCTCTACATGGGTGACCCGAGGAACGGTCACCAGTGCTACAAGACCATCAATATAGAGAACAAATTGTGTTTTGATGGAAAATCTATAGGTGGGTTTCGTTATTGATTTAATTGTTTTATTAGTGCAATTGTTAAGTCTGTATTAGCCATTAAGGGAATTTATTTTACTTGTAAATGGAGATTATTTGTTATTCATTATAGATTGTGTTTAAAGAGAATGTTAAAATTTTTACGTAGCATGGTGACATGTTAATCTATTTTCTCTACTAAATTAACACTTAGAAGAATAGTATAAATAGCATGTTATGTTACTTTAGATTTTCATTGTTTTAATATACAGTAGGTATATGAAAATGAATGAAAAACGGTTACGTTTACCTCTATATGGTTACGTTTTCCGTGGCAAATTTGTTTTTCTATTTCAATAAATAAATACTTTAATAGGACTTTCGACCAGTATTAAACTAATAATTACATTTATTTATCATTACATTCGTTAATTCCAGATGAATGTAAAATCAAACCTCGCCCTTTGTATCCTGGTCAAACAGTATTCGTAGCTGTGAATCCAAGATATATGAATGTTGATATACGGGTCATAGTGGACGTGACTCAAGGCGCTGTCGATTTGTATCTAAGCCCAAATGACAGTTCATTTGTTGTATCCGTGAATGCGAGCAACGGTGCCCACGCAGTGGAATTGGATTCAGCGTATTACAAGCACGAACCGCTCCGCAAGGTGCCATCTTTTGACGACCACGTGCCTGACCAGAAGTTAATCACGTGGTGGTACGATAAAGTAGAGTACACACTGGCTGATTACAAAGCGAAGGATCTTGCTACTTATGTGACGGTCGACAGACGAAATATACTATTGCGCGTGCGTAACTTGCGAAATCGGCTCGTTCTGACTCTTCCAGAAAGTGTCCATGATTTAACACACACAAAGTTTTACATTATTATCAAAGCGAGACACACTGACGATGGCGCCGCAAGCTTTGGTGTCACGTTCTTCCGTCAAGATCAACTGCACATAGATCTGTTCGTGTTCTTCTCGGTGTTTTTCTCTTGTTTCTTCTTATTCCTCGCGGCGTGCGTGGTCGCGTGGAAAGCGAAACAGGCTGCCGACGTGAGGCGAGCTCGGCGGAGACATGTTGTCGAGGTGAGTGGCGTTACTATATTAATTTCCCTTTTTTTCTAAATATTTTTATGTTAAAAAAATTTTTTTTAAATGTTTATATGATAGATCAGTCTATATCTTTAATAATTGTACCATACAGCGTTATTTTACTGTCATACTTTCAACCACAACAAAGTTATGCAAACACATTTACACGCCTGTAAAACACAACTAGGATACACTACATTAGGTATCTCCAGTACCTAGAGAGATTACTTCTGTACAAAATCTCTTGGTAACACACATTGCTTATTTACAATTTTACTTGGATATTATTATATATAATACTTGCAATGATGATATGGTTGATTCCCAATAGATGCTGCACATGGCGAAGCGTCCGTTCGCGGCGGTGACGGTGGTAGTGGGCGGCGCCGGTGCAAGCACGCGGTCGGCGCGACGCCGCGCGGCGGACTTGCGGCCAGTCGCCATCGAACCCGCGGCTGACGGCCGCGCCGCTGTTACCACCGTGCTCGTCAGGTATTTGTTATAGTTATTGGATATTATCGTTTTACGGGTAAAGTCATATAAGAATTTTCACTTCTCAGGTGGAATTCTACTTTGACATATCTGACTCGAAGGACCAAAAGATATATGAAGTTCCTCTTTCATATTAAAAGTTAAGGTTATAGACTTATAGAAATAATAAAAATGTTCATAATAACTGTTATGTAAAAATAATAAGAATATTTTTAAGAGAGCGTACTTTACTAAAGGCGGTATTTGTGTTGTATTTTGTTATTAATTAATTTATTTGATTGTGTTTATTGAATATATGTGTATAAGTTTTGTGCGATTGTTGGTGAGTGAATAACAATGGTGGGTGGTGTGACAGGCTGCCGGGCGGGGCGCGCGCGCCGGTGCGGCTGGCGCTGGCGTCGTCGCTGGTGCTGGTGTCGCGCGCGCCGCCGCCGCGCCCGCGCCCGCGGCCCTCGCGACACCTGCGGCACCCGCCCTCCGCGCGCATCGCACTCAACACATAGTGCCCACCATCGGATACTGTCCCCCCCCCGCGCCTCCCCCCGCGACCACTCACACGCTCAACTTCCCCCTTCAACCATTGCAGTACCACCCGCGTTCCGCATGCTTCACATTGAACGCATAGTTCCGTTTTGACCTCACACTCCACTCGCGTACACTGACACCCTGATCCTTCCACTATCCGCATTCGATACAGTTGACTACCACTCACTGCTGTCTAGCAATTTGAGCTATCCGTCCTCTCCATGCTCTTCTTCCTCATTGCTTAATTACGCGGCTATGGCCCTTCATTCTCGATTCCCGTCCATCGGTAATCTAAGCCATGTATGTACCTTCTTCTCGTGCATGGTACTCAGCGCGTAGTCCGCTACCGCCTTCACCCCACGCCTCCGTCCGTTCCGTAACCTGAGCCACCCATTCTCCGCCTTATGCATTCGACACTCTTGACTATTGCTTTTCTCCCTCCACCCCACATCCACATCGAGCCACGCATCGTGCTCTCGCCATAATTCGTACCTTACAATACGTGCTGTATTCTCAACTGCTATATTATGGTAATTAAAACAAATAATGTCAATAAAATAATAATTGATTATATTCACTGAATATCTCTCGATGCCACTGTAGTCATTTACGTGATTGCTTTGACTATGTTATTTTAAATAATATTATCCAAAATAACTTATTAATTCAATGACACAACCTAATAACTGTTGAGGAAATATAATAGTAATAAAACATGTAATATCTGTAAGCTCGAGCTGGTCTCGCCTCGTCTCCTCCTCTAACATAATATAACCACAGAACCCGGTACGTATATATTTGTACGTTATTTGTTTATGTATAAGTGACAGCCATGGAACACAACGTCTTTATATATGTATATAAAGTGTCCGGGGTTTGATAATACTTAGATCTGTTTTGTTATTAAGTAATGATAAAGAATTTAATTGGTATATGAAACTGCCCTACCATAAGCGTATAATTCTTAAAATTATCTGAAAAAACCTAATAGACAATATACATAATATTAGTTTTGTGGTGAAGGCATCTTAGAAGTTGCCTAAAAGCAGCTCATTTTAATATAATCGTCATATTATGTTACAGTTTCTATTGAGATTGGCTGTATTATTATTACATGGAAAATAATATTAATTTAATTTTAAGCGATGTATGTATTTTCTTTTTATTTTTGTTTTGTATATTTTGATGAATTGGTCTCCAATTATACAATGGATGTTAAAATTATTAACTAAGTGATATTACTTTGCCATTAATGTAATTTATATTGCAGGAAATATTTAAGGTATTGTCTGCTATAATATTATTATCGACTCAAATGTAATGAGCCAAAGGTATCAAAATTGTTGCGCCAACTGCGCGCGGGTTGTGAATAGCCGGTAGTTGGTATATCTGTTAATTATTTCAAAATTTTATTATGTAAATGTTGATAAATTCTGTTATAGGCCTGTTATTATTAATTAATTGTGCGTAAATGAATTAAACTAAATATTTATTTACATGTTAACACATAATTGATTAATATGAACATTAATTATTTTGCTTTTCACTGGAAGTTTTCATCCTATAGATATTCTGTTTTTATAATTTATAATTATTAATAAAATGGTTTAATTTCTTTAAATGATCTAAAAACATTTGGTAGCACATATTTAAGACAAAATCTTTTATGAACACGAAATTTCGTCTCAAATATGCTACTAGATTTCTTTATGATACGTAAGCTATTTAAACCTGTCACGACCGATGCACCACAAGACTGTAAGGGAGCGGAAATTGCCAGTTGTTACCGTCCAAACCGCTCCCATAACCGCGGTAACGATCGTGATCGTACGAGAAATTGGCACCTACTTGAAATAAAATTTCTTTGACATTTAGACTTATGTTTACTTTATAAATCGGTTTTGTCCCTTATGAAATATTGTATATTTTTTATGTATTTTTTTATTTAACTAGAAAAAATAAGAGAATGAGTTCCCTTTTAATTAATATATTAAAAAACCTGCATGAAGCTTGTTATTTATTTTTCTCGTGGGAATTTCAAGAAATCTGTTAAAATAGCAACTAAATTATAACTGCCTGTTCAAAATTTCAGATTATAATTAAATAAGAGTCTTATTCTGTTTAGAATTGTCAGTTCTTTGCAATTTAAGCATTTTTTAAAATAATATTTATATAAATTTCTTATTCTCAGATAAGTTACATAGACTTTTATATATTGAAATTTATATAACATATTAATATAACTTGAACTCAAAGTTTCCCATAGTTTCAGTTGTCTGTCCTTTAATAAAACATACACAAGTTACACTAAGTATGTTAATTTAGGTGTCTTTAAAGGATATTATTACAAATTTAAAAGTCACTAGAATACCTTTTGTTCTATAGAACTAATAAAATATTTTTTTTATTGCTCAGTAGTAATCAACAGTATTGTGTAAATGGATTGATCAATTACTTGACTTGTAAGTAGAATTATGTTGAACGGAGCCGTAGTCAGGGGTATGGTATGGAGAGCATTTATAATCAGTTTTTTTTTTTTATTTTTCGCCTACCATGTTGTCGGTAAGAATAAATTCATAAAAATTATATTTCCGACTATGGCCCTGATGTTAGATGTAATTTAATGTTAAGTTAAAAATAATTATTATAGACAACATTATAAGAGAGTACTGATATTGTTAGAGCTATTTTATTAAGTTACACATAATCAAATAAACTGTATTTGATCAAAACTAAAACAAGTCCAAATTACATTCCAATTGTATATCTTTGTACATATTATTATATAATGATATATTGGTCAGGCATTGAAGAGTTTTAACAATGCTAAGATAATTGCTCATCTATTCTATTTGATCTTTCTTACTATAACTACATTGAAGGCATTTAAATACATATATATTATTATGGTGTAGGTTTCATGGTTATTTTGGTTTTATTTTTTGAGTACACAAATCTAAATCTAATGCTGAGAAACATACTGATAAGTGAATTGTATAACAATTCAGATTAATATTCTATTATTTTATATATTCACAAACATTAGATACTATATCACAGTAAACATGAATTAACCCTCCGCCAACAATATGACAATGCTTCAGTTCTGGTCTGACCGCCGTGCGGTGCGAACTGGCTTGTCACGCCATATCGTTGAAGAGCAGCGCGTCGTAATCAAGTCGGCAAGAATGGCCGTGAAATTTTTGCCGATCTCAGAACAGTTTATGGGGATGATGCTGTGAAGTTTTCAGAGAGGGCCGAGAACAATGTTGATTGTTTTTTTCGATGCATATCTTTGTGGAAAAAAAAAAGCTCGTGTGGCACGAGTTCGTCCAGAATTGGCGCGAGAGGGGCGTTGGATTCTTCGACAATGCCCTCCCACACCTCTCTTGTTGTCCGTGAGTTTTTGAGTAAAAATTCCATTACTGTGACCGAACACCCCCCCTATTCGCCGGATTTGGCCCCGTGTGACTTCTTCTTGTTCCCAAAAACCAAATTGGTACTTCGGGGGCGGCATTTGGGGGACATAAATGAGATAAAAAAAGCTACGACGGGGCAGCTGAGAAACCTACAACCAGAGGACTTTCAGGAGCCTTCTCACAGTGGAAACGGCGGTGGCACAAGTGCATTATGTCACAGGGGGAGAAAGGGGATAAAATTGATTTACCTGAATAATTGTAAAATAAAATTTTTAAAAAACTTTTATACGTACTTTCCGGACAAACCTCGTAAACATGAATTAACCCTCCGCCAACAATATGACAATTTATATAAAAAAAAAGTCGGGGCCTCGAATAAATCACCAAAACATTTCTTCTTAAAACTAATTTATATCCAAGATATCGATTTTTTTGTGAAATCTTAGAAGTTACGGTCTTTGTAAAGATTACAAAATTTTATTTCATTAGGGGGTAAAGTATTCATGTAAAAAACTGGAAACAGAAAAAAGAAATCTAGAACATATTCCCCAAATTTTTTTTTTTTGGAAATTTTCCCTACCTTTAAGTAGGTCAAATTATCGTCTAGAATGATATCGCCCGTGATGGTTGACGGTGTGCAAAAAAAAAACACGGTTGGCGGAGGGTTATGACTTATAAACACTGTAGACAAATACAATAAATATGCTCATTCTGAGAGTGTAGGTGTCACCAATATATGCTTATTTTATTATAATATATTGTTATACATGCTTATATTAATTTTAGTTTTATTCTTTGTTGTTTTATTTTTCAGAGTGGCAGCTTAATTATTAGGTTTTGTCACCAATTTCATAGTAATATAAATAATTGCTCAAAATTTGTTTCCTTTTGTTTACAGCTCAATACTAAAATATATTATCTGATATAAATATCTGTGCCTCTAGTGAGAAAGGATATTTTTTTCTTTTTTAGGCTTTTTCAAATAAACAAAATTTTCTCTTTCTGATGGTGCAAGAAACGTAAAAAAAAATCTTTATAAATAACGAAGATACAGAACGTGTAAAAACCCACAATTATCTAAATATTTTTATTTCAAAGTACTGAATTTTTTTCGAGTTAGAATGATATGTTATAAAAAAAATTGTACCAAATGTAATGTCACTTAGGCTCAAATTTAATAATAATGCTAAAAAGTTTATAGTTCTCCTGAAAAGTACCAATTTTGTAGAGCAGTTCTCATTGGAGGCAGAGATAAGAAAATATAAATGCATTCTACATTTATTTTTTTATATTATTACGAACACCAATGATACGTCAGGACATGAATTTTAATAGAACTAACAATAATAATTAATAATTTAATGTATGTTGTACATAAAATATTGTTACTATTATGCATGAAATTTTATCATTTCATGGGCCCATTACTGCTTTTTTACATTAAGATTTGAGTATAGATCTGTTTTGACACATTAATGCTCTACATATGTGAATGATCTGCTTTTTTTTTATTTCTATTATTTTATACCACCTAATGTACTATTTTAAATAAATAATACAATTTGAGCTATGAGCACTATAGAAACAGGAATCTGATATCTAGGTAATAAAATCTCAGAAGTCTAAAAAAATTTTAAATTAATTTAAAATTTTTGGATATTTCTTTTTATTAGCTTTAAAATTTAGACTAAAGTATGAATGTTGTTAGACAAAATATACACTTTAGCCAGTTGTGCTATGTATATAAAAACAACTCACACTTCCTTTCTTGATATTGTTTTTGTTTTGTAATAAATCTGTTTAATTTATAAAATTGCAAATTACTCAGAATGTAAAATTTTGTACATGTTAATTGAAGTTTTTTATTTTTATAATAGTCAAATTATATACAGTAGTCCTGCACGGCTGCTCATAGCTAATATCAGATTTTAAGAAGTTTCATCATTATTACTTAGACAATTTATTTTAGATGTGTTCAAGCTCCATCCATTGACTTCACTGTAACAAGACACATGAGCCCATGACAAATCATCTATCATGACATCAAATACATAGAAATCATGGCAGTATTATTTCTAAGCAATATGTATATATATATTTTTGTTTAATGTAATTGTATAAATGTTTATAAATAAAATATACTGTTGGTTGTAAAATGAATTTTATTTAATTAAATTTCAAATTAAAATTTACTTCAATATTAACTACTGATCTTTTTGTGTTAAAAGATGTGTTTTAATTTTTTGTAACAATTCTTTCTTTACTGTGTCAGGAACTAAGGCTCGTGCACGAGGTGTGACTCTTGTCACCAACATATCAAAAGTAACATTGTTGCTTTCATTTTCCTTTACAACATCACGACAAAGCATTCTCACTTGATCTCGCCAGCCACATTCAATTAATCGTCTTCTCAATAGTTCTTTAAATCTAAAATGTGAGATATTTTTATTATACAAGACAATTTTTATTTAGTATAACTTCTATTAAAGACAAAACCTTTTTTTTTTATGCAACTTAGAATGGCAAACAAGCTGACAGCCTACCTGATGGAAAATGGTAACCATCACCTTTAGACATGAGCAGTACTATGGACATAACAGAGTATATTATTTTACCCATGATACTCTCCCATGGGTTGCAATTCTTGAGGACTCTGGTGTTATTGTCAGTAGTGTGGACTACCAAACCCATTCCTAGCAGTATACCCTGTCAGTGCAACCTCCACATGGTCCCTTCTGGAAACCATAGTGCTGAATTTCCAGGTGTATTGTGAATGTGAAAGGGACTCCATTTTCCGCACTTAGCCTCTCATTTGGGCCATTGTGCGTATGAGTCGTGGCTAGTGCAGCCAACCTAGCTCCGTCCAGAAGCGCAGAAGCTTCCTGGGTTCTTCACAGGCCTCACGGAGCGAAAATGTATGTCCAGGTGTATTTATCACGATGGGTTAACTGACCTGCTTTTTCATTTTCACTTATTATCCCTTACTGGTGCCTCGTCAGTGTATACAGATAGCGCAGGTGGGGTTACCATTCCATTATCATCCATTAAAAAAACCTTTTAAATGAAAAAACAGCCATGCAACTGCAAACAACTGCTTCATGGTAAAAACTAGAATGGTGCAAAAAACCTACCAATAGGGGGAGGCCATGTTCAGCAGCGGACAGTTAATGTTTTTTAGTTAAGTATAAATAATTTTATATTTATTAGAAAGGCATTATTTAAAATATAATTTTTATAATAATATTATAAGTAGCAAACATGATTATTCCCTATAAGCAAATCATATTATTTCATACGTCATATTTGTGAATGCTCATATACACAAATATGATGTATGAGCCAACCAACATAGTATTCACACATATTTTAGAGAAATCAATAACCTGGCCCACTACAATGGCTACTAGGCTCTAGTGTTTATTTAACATTAAAGTAATTAATGATGAAAAAAAAATACCTACCTTTCTCTATCCCCACTTAATATTAAGCGTTGATGTGCAATTGTATTATTTACTGTCATGTTGATACCTAAAAAATTGGTAATTAAATAAATTTAGTTTTTCAAAATTAAATTTGAATTCAAATTGGCCGATAATTATATACGCTAGTATTTAAACACATATTATATTTTTATAATAATTATTTATCATAATTGATGATAATTTTATATTTTTCGATACTTACTTTATTTAAAATATTACACGTACCTAAAATAAAGCACCTATATTCTATGCAATTAAATATTAGACATATATAACTATAATTTTTAGTCAAATATAAAGTAATAAGTCGATAAAGTATGATTATTATGATTGTTTAATAAAAACATATAACTAAATAAAAACAAGTGTCAGTGTTGCCAATACGCTAGAGTCAAAAATTACACGAGACTTCGGTTGCCAGATGCGAATTGCGATTTTTACCCAATCGTCAAATATTTTTTTCTTCAAATCTACATATCGTCATAGTCGTAGAATACTGACGGATCTGACAAAGATTACATATATAGATCCGTCAGTATTCTACGACTATGGCGATATATGATTTTCAAAAATCTTTACCCTATTACTAAGCTGTATCGATTTTCACTACGTTCTGCTGTATGTTATAAAATGAATGACGAAAAATTCTGCTGATGAAAAGTCATTCCTTTTGTTTGTACTTTTTTCTATCTTTCTCTTTCCGTTATATACCTTCAGTTATTTATTATGTAATAAATACAGGAATGTTTTAAGATAGTAAATGACTATTACCTAAAGTTATATTATACTGCACTAAATAACTATTTGTATCTATAACCAAAATAATCTAAGGAGTTATAAATCAATAGATCAGGATAAGAAATGAAATGAATATAGGAAATGGAAATTTTAATTAAATAAGAGACTTAACCCTTAAATACCTGAAGTTTCAAATTGGATACCGGGGTTATAAATCGCATTGGGCGCCTACAATCAATTTTATTTTAATATTTAGCTGTTTACACGTTACCAAATATTTTTTCAAAATAAATATATAAAAATATCGTTTTAATTTTTTAACTATTTTTCCCCATTAGAAAACACAGTAAAGGGGACACTTATATATTTTTTAATTTGATTTAAAAAATCAGGCTTTTAAGGGTTAAAGAGTAATTAATGGTTTTTTTATTCGTTGTGTAATTTGAATTCTGGTTCAAGTCACTTCTTATAAAAGACATTTGTATTACGTCTATGCAACCAGTTTATGACATTTGAATATTTTAAAGTATAAAGTAGTTAGACAAGAATATATTTTTTTGTGATATTCCCAATATCGATATTTTTGCCACAGCTTTATTATAAATATTATATTTAATCATTTTATTATGTGATACTTTGGAATGGCTACATAAATGAATTTGCAAACTGTTTCTAGTTTCATTAATATAAACGCGATGCCGACTCAAATAATTTTAGAAACCAGTGAGCAGTATCGTCTATTTAGTTTGTGCCAGTGAGCAATTGGGGTTGAATCTGAGTTGCCATTTCTCTAAAATTATCTCGCGTATTATTATTTTCTTTTAATATTTTAATTTGATAATTTTACGAAATTACTGTTTTATGAACCGTCGTAAACTAAAATTATAATAATTTTACCTTAATTCTGTTAAAAAATCAGTTTATATTGGTCTATTCAATAAAGATTCCGCTGTGATATTAAATTGAAATTTAATTTTTGAGATAGATTTAAAGCATTGCGCCTTAGTATTGACAACCCCACTGTCTTTCTTTTCATTATCTATAGTCTCTATAATCTGTTTCTTTGTTATTTATTAATATTTTATTGTTTTCATTTTATAAAATTTTTATTCCTCTTTCCATAGTGTTTTTAAATTGAATAATATAATAATATATTCTATTTAATTATAATGGTTACATATTGGGTAGGTAATAGTCTACTACACCTTTTTTTTTGTTATATTATATGTACAAGAATTATTAATTAAGTATATATGTATATTTTTTCATTAAGTGAAAATTCGATGGTTTTTTATGGGATGATAATTAAATAGTAACCGTGCCTACGTTATTGGTATACCCTGGCGGTGCATTAGCGAATGCTGATAAGTGAGGATGAAACTAGGTCATTTAGGCACTTAGCCCATCGTGACGGATTTAAGAAAAATTAGTTTAAAATTAGGTTAAAGAATTCAGGTGGAGGTTGACTATAGCAATAAACTCTCAGACTCCCCATTACTAATAATGGTGATTTTAAACCCTATTAGTAACAAACAATTTCCCCCACAAAGTTATATTTTCACCTTCCAGTCAAAAATGTAGTTGAAAACAAAATACAACTGTGTAGAACTTTAATATTATATTTTCACATATATAAGACGAAAATGACTGCTATTGATCAATGAAAAGTGTTAAAATTGTTCTTATTCTAACTGCATTTGTAATTGGACTTCCACATTATTTTGCCTACACTATTGGAATTAATCTTAATCTATTGTTGACCTGTAGTGTAAAACATACTCTGTAATGTAAGGCTCTTTCTAATAATGTGTATATATGAGAATAAGTAACAAGACAATAAAATTTTGCAGGATAATAGTATAAAGGTGTTTTTTGTGCTTTGTTATTTATATGGTCATATAATTGTTATATTGCTAAAGAATTTAATTATTATTTATTCTGTTATATTATCAAATCAATGTAACTGCAACAATTAAATTTAAAATTTTTGCTGCTGGAGGTACTTATTTGATTAAATCTCAAATGCTTAAAGCATACTTTCATGTATAATTTTGTGTTTGTTTCAGAACACTTGTGAAAGTCAAGTATAAATATAGTTCAATGGCACATATTTTGGTTCTTGATTCTGTTCAAGATGTATTCATTTGTGGGTGTTGTAAAACAGTTTTTAACTCTTTGCAAGTGTTTCTAGATCATAAAAGCCAGCTATGTAATAAAGACAACCAGCCACAGTTATTAGAGCCTGCAAATAACATAGTATCACCTAAATGTGCATTATCAACTCCAGACACTTTAAGTGAAGATAACAATATAAGAGATATAACTTGCAATCATTGTAGTAAAAAATTCAAGAAAATCACTAGCTTATTTGCACATTTGAAAACACACAATGATAAACCATATCAATGCCCGATTTGTGGACGATGTTTTGTACAGAACTCTCATTTGCAAAGACACATCAAGTGTCACAGGGTATGGCCAGAAGGACTTAGTAAAACAACTGCTACATCTACAGAAGTAGATCTTTTAAGTTATTCATGTTCATATTGTGACATGGTATTGTCAAATTATATCCAATTCAGAGGCCACTTAAAGAATCATTTATCATTAAAAAAATTCAAATGTGTTCAAGATGGATGTGTTAGCTTGTATGACAGTATTGAGGGTTTGCTTCATCATGTGACTGTAGCTCATTTAACCCCAAAGTATTCATGCCATAATGCTACTTGCAGTAAAGTATATAATTCTTTAGAAGACATTGCAAGTCATTATCAAAACCATGATGAATGTAGGACAGATCGAAACAGTACTGTACCCAAAAAATATAAATGTTTACAATGTGATGCTACTTTCAGAAGATTGGAAAAGTTATCTTTGCATATGGTTACTGAAACTCATAAAAAGACTTGTATTCATTGTGGAAAGATATTTGCAAGTGATAAAAGATTAAGGCTCCACTTACAGATACATAGAAAATTGAAACCTTTTCAATGTAATGTTTGTAACAGCAGCTTTCACATGAAAAAATATTTATCCGTTCATATGTTAAAACATGGTGACAGGCAATATACATGCAGTATTTGTAGATATATGTTTAAGAGGCCAGATTTACTCCAAAGACATATGAAATTACATCAATTAAGAAGAAAATTTACATGTCCATTCAAGGACACATTAAATTGCAAAAAAGAATTTAGTAGAAGCGACAAATTAAAAACACACATGAAACTTCATACAAAACACATGCCGCTTTGTTCTACTCCACCTAAAACATTACCTGATCATGAAGCAGGCACAGTAGAGATATGTATAGTACCTTTAGACAAGAATAACAAATAACTTTATGAGTCATTACTAGATTTTGTCTAATTTATAAATACATAATTGTAAACAATGTAGGTAGTTATTATTTATATATAATTTATACAAGTTATTTAATTGTTATTTAATAATAAAATTGATTAACTAAATTGTTTTCTTCAAATTTTGTTTATTTATTAATAAATAAAATAATTTTGTATGTGACAACTCTAATTTAAGTAGAACCAGCAATCCCATTACGTATTTACAATTATAAAAATCCTTTCCCATAATCCTTTCACTAAGTATAACCCATAATGTAATGAGGCTAATATAAATTATTTTATTTTTTATTTTTTATACCCATCATAATCACTAATATAGTATAACTACAACAGTTTCAATGTATATTTATATAGGTGTCTATGTCTAACATTAAATGAAAATTCAGTGCATGAACAACTATTGCCATGGAGAAATGCGCAGTGGTCGACTTGTCTGAACGGGAGAAAGGGATTATTAGTTAGACAATAAAGATAATTCAACAAAAATTAACCACATATTTACTTGTATATAAATTATTTTATTTTTTATACCTCAGTTTAATAAGCAGATAGAATTTAGCATGGAGAAGGATTATTCTATCACAATCGAGCAATATTAGCTAGTTAAATTGACTTACCTAGTTTATTTTTTTAATAAGTATATCTTAACAAACTACCTATTTCGTTATCTATAGTGTCAAATATGAATAAAGACATCCGCTTACCACTTACTTCCCGTAAGCACCGGGTCGTATAGCACTTGCATGGCTTCATCTTTAGCAGTATATTAAATTAACTGTTTTTTCCATTACCTGATTCCATATACAAAGTAGTATTCATTTGGGTATCTCTTGAAATACAACCGCTGTGCTATTACGAATATTATGAAGTTGCAAAATTTTTTATTGTTTTTAGTTTGTTTTTTAAAGTGCTTTTACTTAGTTAGAGTGAGTATAAAAATATATTTACTAGGTATCTATTTGTTTTATTACTATTAAAGCGCTTAAAAATATTTGAAATATGTAACCATATTTCAACAGTACGTTTCATTTTTTATAATTGAAAAAATTAATGACAACTCCACCTATGTTATCGGTATACGTTGACGGGGCATCAGTTAGAGATGATAGGTGAGGATAAAAGCAGGTCAGAGTTTATTGTGACAAATTTAACAAGAATTAACCACAATGGTTTCCAGGAATAACCTCGTAGAGATCGACGTGATAGGGTATATTGTTAACAATGAGGACCCTATTATTAACAATCTCTTTCTCCTTGGTCAAGTATGTTTGTTATACCTTATTTCATTTACTTACTTAAGTTATTGTTTAAAGTTTTGTAACTGAGGGTCAAAGCTTTGGTGCTAATTCTTTGCCTAGTTCGATAATCATTTGGACTACATTCTCTAGTCTCTGTCGCGTACTTTATATCAGGAGTCTGACCCTTATGATCCTAGATATAATTCGGATAATCTAATAAGTACTTATCAATATTTAATACTTCTTAATCTTTAGTACTTAAGTATCTATAACTGTACTGTATTAGAGTGTAAGCAATTTATTTTAAATATACCTAAGTAGGTACCTCAGCTATTTTTTAAGAATGAAATGGAATAGCATCTTGTGACAGGATACCAGTAAGGCATGATATAGGTAGGTAAGGATGATGGCGGGTTAGTAAGCCCATCGTGACGAATTCAACAAAAAATTTGGAATTTCTAATTTCTAAATCATTATGGTTTATAAATATTTTTATTTTCTTTGCTAGACCCCCTAGTACGTACTAAATTTAAATTCAAAATTTAATAATATTGACCTACTAATCCATGTATATGGAAGGTCTTTATTTGTACATCTTAAAACAAATTTGAGTTATTTTTATGACGCGTAGTTTTTCAGTAATGATTAAATATGTAAGAAAAAACCATATCTCCTTATTTCCGAAGTTTCTGAAGTAAAATTTTTTAAATAATTACGGTTTATAAAGGTATATGTTAGCATTACAGGAAAAATAAAATGATGTTTCCAACTAACAATATTTTTGGGAAATTATCAAATTTAGTTATACAATGCATACAATTATAGTTCAAAATAAGAAATTACGAATTGTATTATAATTAATGATAATAACTGAGAGACATGAGGAATGCAATAAAGTTCATTTTTAAATACACCATCGTAAGATAACTCTACGAAAAAATGCAGGTAAATAGTATTTACATACCCGATTAGCTTAACATAAGGTCGTTTTATTTCATATTTATATGTATATTTAAATATGGAACCTTTGGCGTGTGACTTCAATTTGTAGTTGACTGGTTTTATTTAACTAGCAGGTATTTAATAACTAGTAAAAAAAATGTAAAATAAAATTGCTGTTGCGTTAAATTATCTACTGTTTTAGGCACGACAGTTCAGAGTTACTGATCAAGTATATCTAGATATTCGTGACGAGAACAAGGACTTAGGCAGAATTGTGATTGGCTTATTTGGAGATTTAGCACCAAAGGCTGTAAAGAATTTTAAGGTACTGGCTACGAAAGGAATCAATGGAATGACTTACAAAGGCACCAGTTTCAATCGTATAATAAAGAGATTTATGATACAAGGTACATTATTTTGAATGTATAAATGACGTAAATCCTTTTCTGGTTATATGCTTAGGCAATATCTTAGCATTATCGATTGTAAAAAATCAAGATTAATTCAGTATTGATACTCTGATATTATGAAATATCGTTATCTGTGATGAGAATCTGATGCAAGCTCCATGCGTATTCTTCTGGTAACCATCACAGTTATTATATATATATAGATATATATTATCTATCATTTTGAATTATTTGCATATAAAAATATTAAGCAACGAAATCATTCTTATTGTTGTTCAGATTTACATAGTTATATGTTAATTAATTTCTAGGAGGAGATGTTGTCTCTGATGACGGAACTGGTTCAATAAGTATTTATGGGGATACATTTGAAGACGAAAATCTGGATACACAACATAGTATGGCCGGATTTGTATCGATGGCTAATAAAGGTAATAAAAAAGAATAGTTGTCAAAAGACGTCGTGCTGCCTTTGTATTTAGCTATATGTTGTTTATTACTCTGATGCAAAGCTATAATGAAATTTTTGGAGATTTTCAGTCTATTCTGACCTATATACTCCAAAGGTCACGAGTACGAATCTGGCCGACACTCTCTGGTAATGGAAAACATCGTTAACAAACCATATTAATCTGAGTGTCACGTTGGATTTTATTTGAAATATGAACATATTGAGCATTACATACCTTTAATTAACCCATTGGGGATTACAGTCGTGAGCATTTTTAATTCGACTTTAATATAAACTACTTTAATATTATCTACTAGCGATCTATTGAAACATCAATATGTTCAGGCAGGACAACAGTCCTGCCCGAACATTGCCTTTTTGTTTATCTTTAAAAAATAAATTTATACAATAAAACAAAAAAAAAAAAATACTGGAAGCCTATTAAGCGCTTTATAGCGCAACCAGGCAGCACCAAGTTCTTTTGAGAATCTAAACCGTTCAGGAACTCACTCAAATATAAGCAAAAGATTTAGTCAAAATAGATCTACTGATTTAGAATTTTTGTTACATACACACGTACAGAATAGATTATGACTATGCTCTTATATCTATCTATATTTAAGAAAAATTAATGAAATCCTGACTGCGGTGTCCAACCCGCCTGTCAAGCGTAGCATCTACTAGCAAAGTCCTCCTTATGGAGGAGGTTTATGTTTAGCAGTGGACAATTAACGGCTGATATGATGACGTCCTTTTATGAGGATATTTAATTGGCATTATATATTTACATCAGTTTCTTTAGTATATGTTATAAATTCCTATATTTATCATCTGTCCGTTAAAATTATTACTGTCATTATTTTTACAGGAACAAATACTAACGGTTGTCAATTTATAATAACTACAGTTGGGGCACCGTGGTTGGATAATTTACATACTGTCATTGGAAAGGTATTGTTTTAATATGTACTCATAAGCATAATGTACTTATAATTTAATATCTATTCATAAGCTATGGAATGACCCGCTTTATTCCCTAAGTATCTGTCTACTGATATTGGTTTTTCATCTTACAGATATTAGTTACATATAGATTTGTATGTACATTCTTATGCTTATAGAGGCAATTCTAGTCATGTCAAAAGGATTTTATGAAAATGAACATTCTTGAATGTGTACGAAAAATGTGAAAGTCTGAATTTTTATAAGCGATTTAATAACTGGTTAAGCAACTATTAAATTTTGAATTTGATTTTTTATATTAAGATTTGTAGGAGTACAAGCATTTTATCCTCATCTAAACGATAAAGTCATCATTTGACCCAATATGAGAACTTTATCAGGTATTGCAAGGAGGTCGACCTCATGTGTAAGTTATATAGTTAATAGGGCTGTTACACTCCATTACTGACAATCCCTTGTTCTCCCTATAATCTTATTGGGACTTATGTTCATGATGATATATGTTTGTGAAACTACTTACAGGTGGTAGAAGGTCAGAATGTGGTGCATGTGGTGGAACACACGCCCACGGACGCACAAGACCGGCCCACGCGGCGCGTTTACGTTGCAGATTGCGGACTTCTATCAACGCCACAGCCCTTTTACATTTCCGACGACCCATATGAGTATGTATAATTGTTTTTTTTTTTTTCATTTTTATATGACCACATACTCACAACTATATATACTGATGGAAGCTTAGACCGGTTGAATATTAAAATATATCTAGGTTTCTAATTAGGTAGTTAGCCATATACCCTGTCAGTTCAAGCTCCATGCGTATTCTTCTGGAAACCATCCCAGTTAATTTCTGAAGGATTCATCGCGATGGACAAACTGATCTGCTTTCATCATCACCTTTTCCCTGAATTATAATATTTATAGATACCTAACGAGATGAGTAAGATTGCGTTTATGGCCGACGTAAGTTGCAACTCGTTATTCATATCAGTTAATCGACGAAGAAAGCAGCGGCGTTGCGAGGCTCCGGGCGATAGGTCTTTGCGAGGCCCTTTATCCTTCGTAAAAAGTATGTGACGTGAAACTAGGTCGGGTTGTTTGATTTAGGTATTTGTCATGTTTGACGATATAAAATTTTATTATATATATATATATATATATATATATATATATATATATATATATATATATATATATATATATATATATATATATATATATATATATATATATATATATATATCTCAAATTAATGGAAATTTTCCGCTGATTCAAGAAAACTGTCTTATTTTACATTTTTTTATAGTAATTTTTTTTATTTGTATTATTAGTGTTGGTAATTTTGTTTATTCATAATTAAAACGCCTAAATAGGGAAGTTTTTACAACTTGCTACTAGACGAAATGCCACTCACTGGTTATTTAAAATTTCCTTCGGTTGTTGCGGGAGGCCCCTGTAAGAGCGAGGCCCCGGGCGATTGCCCTGTTTGCCATCCCCTAAGGCTGCCGCTGGAAGAAACATATCTCTTTACCTAACTTATGAGGAAGATAGCATGATAATAGATATATAAATAGACAATTTTTGTGTCACAAAATAGAAAGTCATATTACCTACTTGTATTTTGGCGGGAACTTAATGGTCGGAAGATGAACAGCAGCGTTCCTCTCAAAACATCACCGACGCCTAATTGCAGTTGCCAACTCACCTACCAAGCGTGGCAATTATTGACAAAATCTGGGGAAGGCCTTTGTTCAGCAGTGGACAGTTAACGACTGATATAATGATGATTATGATAATGATGATGACCTGTATATTTTTTTGCAGCTTCTGGGCGTGGATCAAGGCGTCTACAGTACCACTCACCATGTCCTTTTCGATATTAGGATTTTTTCACTGGATGATGAGAAAAATGGAGATATAAATATCTGTATCTTTAATAATTGCTATTTAAAATATTAATCTTTTTTTTTATTTTCTACTACTGAATTAATGTTATTTACCTTAAAATGTTACCGTTTGATTCCTATTTTTTTTGGCAATATGATATTTTAAAATAACCACAAAGATGAAATTTCATACAATTGCACGTAAAATAAAAGAGAATGGATGCGACTCTGGTTTCTTTAAATTGATAATTTTTTTATTGATTGTTAAAAACTAAAACATCGTCAATAATATAAAAAAGAGTCTCGTAATGGGATAATTATTTATTTAAGTTAGATATTAAGAAAAAATACTACCTAGGTATCTACTTAATTAATATGTACAGAGATTGTTTTATTTTTACATTTTTTTTTAACAAATTCAGTAAATTAAATAACACATAGCTGTTTTAAAACAACTTAATTAAAAAAAATCATTGCTAAAAAGTTATTAAACAACATTGTACTCAAGTAGTTCGCAATTTTATTATTCAATATTCACTCAAAGCTCTTTATATGAAACAAGATGTCTACTTATTTAGGTACCTATTTAATTGAGTTAAATATTAGTTACGATTATGGTGATTTTGGCGTTATATAGGTAAATATTTAATACTGAAATATTTATCATTAAGTATTGTTAGGATTATAATTAGATTTAGATCACACAAATAAGTTGCGGTATGTAATTAATAACTATGACGTGATAGACTACACTTTTTCTTAAACCAAATTCTTCAACACTAGTGAGCCAGAGTCAGGTGTTTTCTGTTCTGTTCACCTTTCTGTACAAAATAGGACAAGATATCGTTACAGAGGTACGATCCCACATATTCGATTTTTAAAATGGAATGATGAATCATTATAATAATCGTTTAATGTATGTAGGGCTCTAGGTAAACCTTTTATGAGTCTTTAGAGCCAGTCAATTTATTCAATTAAAAATTAAAAATGTATAACGGAATTAGCAAGTACACAATTACAAATCACTCATTCAGTTTGTCTGCGGCAAAATTGATAAAGCATTTATCAACTAAAGCTTAGTTTATATAGCAATACACTGGCACAGTTTTTTAGAGAATAAATCTTGCCAAATAAGAATAAGGAACTACTCACAAATAGTAATACACATATAGATACTTTTGTAGTTTCCTTTCTTATGTGGTAAGATTATTACTGCAAAAAAAAACGTGTGGTGTATTATGGTATAAATGCGACTCTATTTACATGTAATTGGTGCTATATTGCTATCGTAATGTCAGATTGACTATGAAGGTAAGAGTGAGAAGTAGAAGTAGAGTGGTGGCGTGAGCAGGCGCGGCCGGGGCGGCGTGGCCGGGCGCGGCGCCGCCAGGGCCGCCAGGGCCGCCGGCGGCGGGCCGGTCGGCAGCGCGTTGCGACGCGGCGGCGCCGCACGCGCGCTCGCACGACGGCCACTCGCGGCACACGTCGCACGCGGTGCTCGTCACCGGCTGGAAGAATTGCCGCGCGCGGTGACCTGATTTTTAACAGACAGCACAACGTCGAAATATGAACATTTGAAATTGGTGGTCTAGTGGCTTAACTCACTTCTTTACGTTCCAATGGTGGAGGGTTCAATTCCCGTATAATATAAATATTTGTACTCATAAGTATTTCTGTTTTTATTAATCCGGCTATGTTTAAAAAAATCTAGGTATTATTTATCAACCTATAGTATCTATAGCATATACTCTCCTTAGTTTGAAATTAGATGTCGCTGTGTTATATGTAAGTGGTATTTTTTTATAATAGCACAAATCCTGAATCAATGCAGAGTCATTATTGTCAATAAATGCGATCAAGCCAAATGCGATTGGCTGCACTATGCTGGTTTACTAAGTATTTTTCATGCCACATTTGAACGATCCGAGACGAAGGAAATGTTACGGGAAAGGCCATTTTCCCAATGCTACGATACGATTCACATAACAGTCCGCAAACTTATTTGTTTCCAATGTTATTATTATTTAATAGAGGAATTATATTTTAGGAGCATAGGATAAGATAGATGTATAGGGCAGCTCCGTGAGTTAGATTACGTTCAAGCACTATGAAACAGCGGTACTAACTGGAGTCGTAGAGGTCGATGAGCGTGGCCCAGCCGGCGCGCTGGCGGGCGGCGGGGAGCGCCCGCGGCGCGGCAAGCGTGGCGCAGCGCTCGGCGCGGCCCACGCGCATCCACGCGGCCACGCGGGCGCCCTCGGCCTGCAGCCGCGCGCGCACCACGTGCCGCGCACTCTGCACAGCGACATGCACACAGCAGACATTATAGATATATATATTGGGAAACCCTTTCGCTTTTTACCTAAATAGACAACTTATGTTATTTACAAAAGCTCATACAAGCAAGTCATGTTGTACACGTATAGGTATATCCGAAGGTATATCTAATCTGTTTTTTATACTTGTCATATTTTAGTAAAGTACTTGTTGGTGAGTTCTTTTTTTTTAATCATATAAAGCCCATTAAATGAATAAGAAGATACACTAAGTTTGTTATAGAAACTTGAAGCGTAGGAAGAATATTTTAATTATAACAGACACAAAATTGGGAGTAAGAGCTAGTATTTATGTCTATAATTAAGCAAGCAAGATAGAATACCATACTATTTGTTCAATATCCATTTATAACTTACCGTCAACTCAGTAAGTGTATTTATATCGGCCAAATATCCTGATGGTAACTGCACTGTAAGGAGAGTGAGTCCACTCTCTGTGTCATTACTTTGAGCTACGAATCTGAAAACCAAAATGTATAAATAAATCGATAATTATTAAGCCAAGTATATTGGATTTAATTCAAGTATATTATAAATATTGGTTTACTGTTATGAGATTAAAACTAATGATTTGACATTAATTACTTCTGACTTGCAAATACCCATTGTAATATGAATTAATTAATAAAAGTAAAAATGTATGATCATTAGTTACAATCGTATCATCTTGAATTATTATTCTACATATTAATTAATAATTCTATATATATACCATTCCACTACATGGACTTGGAATATATAAATACAATAAAGACTATTTGGAATATTAAAAATAAGAATTCCATACAGTGTACTCTTTTGTGTGTAAAAACTGGAATCCATTATGATTAATTCCTTATTGTGGTGAATTCGTCATAATAAGCCAACAGACCTGACTTCATCTTCACTTATTAGTTTTCATTGACACCTTACAAGCGTAAACCATTGGCGCAGGCATTCATTTACAATTAGAAGTAAAAAACGAATCTAAGTTTTTTAAGCTAATTGTTTTAACGCATACAAGTAGGTATTATGGTATAAGCGTAGTCAATATAAGGTAGCTTTTAACGTCTAAGTATTAAATAGACAGTTTCATAAAGCACAAATCATATAAGTACCCGACACAGATGGAGAGCTGGAGCCGGTAGCTGGTAGAAACCTGGTCGACCCGTGGGTCGAGAGTATACCGTGGCCAGGCAGCCGTCACATTCGTATAACCCTTAGCAGAAAGGCCCAATATTGCGACACCTCTGCCTTCAGTCATTGCACTCACATTGCGGACGTTGCGAATCTATAAAAGACATATGGTAATACAACTATTAAATAGGTATCGTGTAAATATACTCCGTAAGGAAAAGAAATATATTCTTTATTAGAAGGAACTTTATACAAAAATTGTCCAAATAAGGTGTTTGTGTTATAGCAGCTGCGTCCGCATGAGCGTTTCGGTTTAAAATCACCATTTTAATAGAAACACAGTTATACGGATAGAAATTTCTGGTATATATCACAGAATATAGCAGTGACATTAAAGGATACGACTCATGGTTTATTATGGGCATTATAGTATATTTTGTGACATAAATCGTGTTTGTAATGTCTATTAGGCAACGGTTAGAATTTTCTATTTAATTAGTCGTAGGGTCGCCATTAGGTTATATAAAGTTATGTAAAAAGGCGGAATTAAATAAAATATTTAAATAGCCCATTGAGCAATTTAAGTTCAGTGATGTTTCAGCTTATGGAGAATCGCGTTAATAGCAAATTGTGAAGGTCATTTGTTGCGTCTAAAGTTTTATAATCGAAAAATAATGACAGTTGACTGATCGCTCGATCTATTTAGTAATAATTATAATTTTCCATTCATATATAGGTAATATTTGATTAGCTGATTAATCGACTGTCGAATTCGTTGAAACGAATCCGGGCGTAGCACCAATTTTCTTTCTTGAGAGTTGTTAAATAATAAAATAAATAAAACCATAACTAAAACTTTGTCTCTGACTACCGTAACAAGAATTAAACTCGTGACAATATTTATTTTCAACCGATTTTAAAAAGAAGGGGATTCTCAATTCGGTTGTATTTTTTTGTTTATTACATCATAACTCTGTCAGTTCTAAACCGAATTCTTTTCTATCTGAAAGATTATACACTATAAAGAAATTTTATCAACATCTGTTCAATAGTTAAGTTTTTGAATCAAAATAAGTGGTTTAGTCACAATTAAAATCTGTTTTTATGTGATCTTTAATTATTTGTGTATATAATTTTTAGTGACGATAAAGCAACAGAATAATTTTACTACATTTTTTAACGTTTATTTTTATTTACTTACCTGTTGATTTTGGATCACAAAAGCATTGCTTGGCATGATTTGGAACTGCCTAGGTTCTTCGGATTCGCTAACGTTCACCGATATTCTTAATGTGCTCGATATTCGTATAGATTCGGAAAACTGAGCTAATGCGTCGACCTGCAAATATGAATGTCGGAATTAGGACGGTTGAAATTATCTACCAGAGGGTAGCCAGGGCGAATCGCTATTATATAATATATATAAAAAAGTAATTTCTGTTAGTTGTATCTATTTATAGTATAAAGTTTGATTAACTTAGAACTAGATGGCACTGTGTAATATGTGCAAGGGTTAATTATTTAATATTTTTATACCCTTTTTGAAAAATATTACATATGCACGTACTACATCGGGATCAGGATCGTAGGGCCCAACGGTTTGCAATAGGTATCGTGCCAGCGGCATTGCCCCAGCGGCTGGAGCAGCAGAGTCAAGAGTGGGGGTAGACAGAAGCGCGCGCAGACCCCAAGAGGCTGTGGCAGCGTCCACACTGTTATCGCGCAGCCATGGGTTACGCCATTCCGGTCCCGAGACATGACGCGACCAGTATGCTGCTGAACCTGAAACCGCTCTTAGATTATATCACTGAAGTATTTAAAATTACTTTATGGGATTGAGACATAGGGAGGGTGGGGGCGAAAAGAACACTATGTACAAATATCTCAGACATGTCTTTGCATTTTGGAGTAATTAAATCCTTGGAGATATATTTGGAGAAAAGTAAAAAGTTTTGGGTAGTTTTAGTATTTGTAAGTTGTATAGAAATAAAAAACGAAATAAAAGAATCAAGATAGCAGAACAGAGGATGGGAAATAAGAGAAAAAGAGGGCAAGATAATATAAAAATAGAAATGAAAGAAATATTTTTGCCATGAGGTACATAGCAAAATGTAGTAAAAATCGATACAAGTTTGTGGTTGGGTAAAAGTCTCAACCCTGCAGACAGTTTATAAATACAGTATTTTTTCAATGCATCATACAAAGTTAGACAATATATTGTGGATGTTTTCATATTTATATTAAAATAGTTTATGTTTTTTTTTTTTATAGAAAGAGTAGTTTATCAGAAGAAGAATTAGATTGAAAACCAAAGATAAACTAAACCAAAGAAAACAAATATTGAAATCGAAAGAAATGAAAACAACAACACAGTATGTTCAACCTAGAGGTTGGTATAAATTTTTGGTAGTAAGCAATCAGCCTTTTTCAACAGTCTGTTGTCAATATTTGTTATCTCGGCGCAGAACATGTAATTAATTTACCGGTGGTGTTTCCGTATTGGTCAAGCATCTGTAGCGCAATCGTGGCATGCGGACTACGGGCAGCCGCGAGCGCACTGGCGGCCACCGCAAGGGTGTAGGCGTCTAACTGCGGTGACAAACCCCGCGCTATGTACTCCACACCACTGTCGATGTTGTCTTTGTAAAGGATGTCACTGCCCTGTATGAATGATGTATGTATCTATATTCTTTTTTATTTAATAGTGACAGAACTAGTTTATTTTTTTGAAAAGCAGGTGGTTATTAAATTTTGGTTGTCAGTCTTTCTGCAGTATACCTTGGTCTGTAGTAACGCGAGAAGCGCGTGTGCAGTGAGTGGCAGCGGTCGCTGCGCTCGCGGTGCGAGCACCCGGCGAGCGGGCGGCCAGCTGCCATCAGCGAGCTGTCGTGCGGCCAGCCAGCGCGCCGCGCCCACGCCAGCTTCGGGTGACGTCTGCACGTGGCGAGCGCACCGCGCCAGCCACCGAGCGCACACCGAAGTTGTCCTGACGCATGAGTGTGACATGAGCTTTATATTTATATTGTTTTTATTACACAGCTTTGTCCGTGTGTATTAAAATAAAAAAATAACTCTTATTTCTTAAACTAGACTTTGTACAACGTGGTCCATCTGTATATCAGTTTCATTCAGATTGTTTAAGTGTGATTGTGTTTCGGTTTGAAGGGGAATATGGTGTGAATTTACAAAGGGGATTGTTTCAGGAATGTAATGGGGAAACAATATACTAAGAATCAGGTGGGCTCCACTGTATAAAAAAAAAAAAAAAAATTCTAGCAATATACCCTATCACGTTGAACTCCATGTTCCAATTAATTACGATGATTATCAAGGGAAACCGCAAGGTTTCCACTGATAATTATCGTGGTTAATTCTTATGAAATTCGTGACGAATTGAGTTAATGGGTTAACTAACCTGCTTTCAACCTCACTTATCATTTTTTCACTGGTGTCTTGCCAGAATATATCGAAAGTGCAGATAGACATTCCATTTTCACCCTTATAAATCAGCCCTATTGTTAGCGACATACCCTATCAGGTCGACCTCCGCGCGCTCTCTTGGAAATTATCTAGATTAAATTCTTCACAAGGGACTATCTTCACCTACCATAATTCACTAATACTGCGCCAATGTATATGGATAGAGCAGATGGTTTATCACGCTCTTTTCAATCCAATAAAAAAAGTTTACTTATGTTGCAAACATCTTTTAAATAATCAACAATAAGTATGATGTATAATCTTAGCCCTAAGAAAAAAAAATATAATAAATTCATGTTATTGCTGTGTTAGCGTTCAGTTTATTATAAACAACACAATTGTTCAATGCTTACCATACATCTCCCTCGACTTCGCTATCCGTTTCTGGTGCAAAGGATCCGTCTTGCCGACGATATGACATTAGCCGTTGAAAACCAGTAGACACTAGGGAGTGAATCTTTGCTGGTACTGGCTGATCTTTCGTCTGCATAAAATGTAATTAGAGAGAATTACAGTCTGCAATGTATTTGTAATACCTTACGGAATATAAAAAATGTGACATGTGAATGAATTTAATGAATCTATTTTGTTATGTATTACCTGTCTATATGTATTCATTTATATTTGCTAATAATTATATGGATACAAGGCACCATCCATAACATTGGAACATTGTTATTGAAGAAATAAATAAAAAAATAAATTATATTTGTATAAGTAACGTCAAATGCGACAGCCAGAGCACCTACCACAAACCTGCCGTTAGTAGCGACACCCGTTAATCGAAATATATTATGTACTATACGTAGAACGGTAAGGATACCTGTAAATAGTCGATGAGCACGCAAGCAAGCGCTAGCGGTCGTATGGCATGGGGCGGATCCGCTGCGGGTGCGGGGCCGGTGGTGGAAAGTGCGGCAGCCAGTGCAGCAGCTACCAGCTCGCCCGCCGCCGAGAGCAGCGCGCCGCCCGGGCGTGTGCCCGCCGGCGCCTGTAGCGTTACGCGCTCACGAGCCACGCCGTTGCGCGCGTCCAATACGCTCCACGACCACAGATCTTCTTCGTATCCGTCCTGCAACAGTTTATGGGCTCAGCATTAATTCTAGCATTGTGGTTGCGATACTCTTAGGTAGGTAAATATGCTGTCTATGTTACCAACCACTACGCGTAATGTCAAATGAATGTGACCATTATATGATGTGACATTTACTCGATGTGATCCCAATCACAATCTATAGTAACAAGTTCTATTGCTTTAGATTTGGGTATTGTATTGTAAAAGATTATTAGGAAACGAATATCTTTGGGCATAATTCAAGTCACATTACGTGAGCCAAGCAGAAAAAAAAAGCTTGGAATATCGCTTACTAAGTGGTTTGTCTGATATTGGCAAAGTATCCAAGTGTGTTTTCTCAGTGTAATCTTTTCATATAATTGTTTGTATTTATAATAAGTTTACTAGTGTAATCTTTTATTGGAAGCAGTAAAGAGTATCTATCTAAACATCTTGATCTAAGCAGTTATTAATCTTTAATAAGTAATAATGTTTAATAACTATGTCATTTATTGTCTACTCATTTAGCTACTCTACATACTTTAACATCGATCGTTCGGGAAATAGAATGGGAGTGTCCACCGCCGGTGGCTTCAACCATGACAGGTGCGCTACCATCGCGAATGATAGTCACGAGGAACGCCGTGCTGGCTGTTCCTTGTGCGGGTACTTTTACACTTGCCCGACTGAATAGCTCGATTTCTGAAAATATTTAAGACTTGTAAGCTATCTCCTAAACTTAAAATTGTACTTGAAAAATTCCGAAGCAAAATAGGTGCAAAGAATTTAGTCTTATATTTACTATGTATCTTGTGATTTACCTTTTATTTTGCTACTAGAGCACATTTCAGAAAATTAATCAGAAACACTCTTTAAATCATAGATTTAGTATAACGTATCTAAGGTTATCGTAGAGAAGTAACTATACTTACTCTTAGATGAGCCAACATCATTGTCCAATGGTTCGAATTCGAAGTATTGGTCGGAATTGTAGAATGTGACTTCAGCAGTTAGATCAACTGTAAGGGTGTTCTTTAGCACCACTATAGCAGCCAGTGTCTCCCCCTTTTGCATAGTGGTTGGCAGTTCCAATGTGATGGAGAGTGGCAAGGTAACAGAAAAAGTTGTCGGCTCAGCAAGACCAAGACCTAAGTTTGGGTCTATTGCGAAGCCTCCTACTGTCAGCTCTGATGGCAATCCTGGAGAACGAGTTTCAGTTGAACTCTTGCCATCGGAACTAAAAATAAAATGCATAGCATTAGAACTATAGAGTGGTAATTAAAATAAAGTAAATAATATTTTATATTAAGTTTATTCTGATAATGACCTATAAACATTGATCGTCATAGCCTGTTTTTCAAAATTTACAAAAATCCTCTGTTTTAGTCGTGTTTCTGCTGCCAAATAGCTGTGCTTGTATGGCTATGTTTCGATTTAAGGGGTGGGACATGGAAATGAAATTACAGGGTATAGATACATAACAACTTAATTCTTAGTAACAACACCAGATAAAAGGCGCCATGGGCATTACAGAATTGTCTAGGTCTACAAGCGATAGTTACCACACTCCATCAAGTGGACAATGTGACATGTTTTTGCTGTTCCAATTGCATAAGAAAATGTTACCTATTTTAACATTATACATACTATGGTCTAACAGCTTACCCAATAGTGAAATTGCTGAATACTCGCGTGGTATCTGAAGCAGGCGGTAGTGGCTCGGTGAGGTAGTACCGTGGTGCTGGTGGCGGTGGCAATCGGCTGAACGCGTACGGGCCTGCCAGTGGTGGCCGCGTGCCCGTCTCCACTTCATTTGTTCCTTCTGATGCCAAGGTTAATTATTACAATTACAATATAAATTAATAAATTTTCTTCAAGGGCAAAGTCTATTAGGAGCATAAATAAAAGAAACACACTGATAATGATATGTTTTTAGATATTAGGCCTAGTATATTTTGGTTCACAACAATCAGAGTTTTATGCCACAAAGAAAAACGGCAGCTACAATGATCGCGATATTAATAAGGGAACTAATACGGAAGCAATCCTTATCGTATATCTTATTGTATAAAGAATAAAACTATTGTCTGATGCGTACTGATAAAACGTATATACTTCGCAACGGGTTCTAATAAAACCGACCCTTGACCAAGTAAAATATATGCCTATTATATATATTGGAAATTATATTAAATCGATAACGTGACTATCTGTTATATAAAAATTTCAAAGCATATTTTTAATCCAACTTGAATCCTTAATGGGTCTTTGTGGATGGCGTCAAACCATAAAATTGGAGAAGATTTACCATACCAAATCGATACAGAATCTACAAATATTTAATTGTTTCAAAGTATAAAGAAAATGTCAATTACCTGGTTTATTATTTTGAATTATCACTCCATCTGTTAAGATTACTACACCGACATTCTGTAACAAATATAGACAAATTAATTTTCTAGATCAAATTGGGGGAGAAGGTATGTATCTATGAATGTACATGATAATCAAGTGAGGCTATGTTAATAATGTGGAATAGTGGCCCTCTACTGCCATCAATTTACTTTGTCAGGTAAACCTTCACGTGGTTCCTGCTGGAATCGATTAAAACCTAATTATGTAACTCACCTGAAACACATCCATGGAACTGCTGCCGCTTATATCGACTCCAGCGCCAGGGAGATAATCTTCATTCTTGAAAAAGGAGTGCTTCAAACCTATGAAGCTTTCTACTTCTCTTTCAATCTAGAATGAACAAACAGATTAATGCCATGGAGATTATACATAATTACGAGTATCATGAAAAGTCATTTGAGTTAATATCCAACTCAACAAATGGTGCATGTCTTATCAAAATGAATCAAGCAAAAGGGGAAAGAAGATACAGATAAACTACTCTACAAACTCTAGTTGTGGAAAGCAGAGATCGAAGTAAATTCCGTGATTAAACTGCGTTTTAATTTCATTAACACATAGTTGCTATTTCTGGGTTTAGACACATTACATTCAAGTTTCTTAGTTCCACTAAAATTTTCTGTTAAAACAGGCACTACACAGTTCCACGTATCCAAAGCTACAGGAAACAGCTAGTAGATATAAATATCTTATATTGTATATATCTTATATACTTACGGTGTGCATATCGAGCCCGGTACCGAGTCCGTGTGGGTCGGCGAGTCCTGCCCGCGCGGCGGCAGCAGGTTGCACCAGTACCGCGGCCAGGCTGCCCGCCGTCGCCCGCGCTTGTACCTCCACCACGCTGCTTGGACGAACATTGCTAGCTGCTGGCCACAACGACACCTACGGCACCACATTACATCAGTCATGTGGCGCGAACAAAGGGGATAAAAAGTCCACTTTTAAAAATCAAAGTGGGATTTGCTTTTCATAATCTACTGAGTTAAATAGTACATTCACGCTGAAAGTGTAGTATGAATGGTTAGCACATTTACGTCAACGTACGAGGTTTTTAACTTCCCAAATGCACAACGAGAGGAAACTAAAGCCTACATTAATAGCATCTAGATGGGTAGAAGAATTTGAATATAAGAATAGGGTATTAGTAATCAGAAATACAATCCCCTTTACTAACAACTATCGTTTTTCAATGAACAATAAAGGAATGGTGACCCCGTCTGTGTTATCACACAAGTTTCCAGGCGGACTACGAGAAATTAACCTGATAGGATGGATATATAGCTAGCAATGGGGTTGTTATACCCCATTACTGACAATTCCTCTTTCGCCCATATATCCTGCCAGGTCGATCTCCACTCGATTTCACCCCCCTTCGGGAAATTGTGGTAAATGCGTAACGAATTCGCCACATGACAGACCTGATTTTATCCTCATATATTATTTCTCACGCGCTATTGATTTGCGCAAAAAACGCTATAATTGTAATGGCATCTAGATAAAATAACATACGTGTGGGTCTCACACTCGACACATGTGAACAAATATAGCCGAACTTCGTAATGAATTGTAACCGATTAGGAAACTTTCACACGTTATGGGCTATTGAAACTCATTTGGCGAAATATGGCTAAGGTATCTATTATCATAGACTTTAAATAACATACTATTTACTTCATAAGTCTATTATGTTATGTGGTATGAACGTACCTTATGTTGCAACAGATTCCGTTGGGGCGCGTACACAGCGGCGGCCACTATAGGGTATCTGGCGGCGTCGAGCCGCGGGTACCAGGCCAGTAGCACACAGCCCGGCGACATTTTTGCCGTCACCGGTATCGATATGTCCACGCTGCGCCGGACCGGGTTCAACTGGAAATAAGTAAGTACTTATGTAAATATTTATATAATATATTATTGTCTAGTTCTTAGCTTGAGGGCCAAGCGGTTAATGTGATTGTGTAGCACTTATTATTAACTTCCTGGGTACTAAATTTTATTTAAATCCATTCAGTAGTTTTTGTGTGGAAGAGTTACAAACCTCCATTTCACCTTACAAACTTTTGCATTAATTATATCATAATACAACCCTCTTCCTAGTGGGGGAAATGGATCTTTAGCAATGGAGTTTGATAGCGCCATTGCTAGCAATATGCCCTATTAGGTTCCCTCTAGAAACCATCGTGAAAAATTTTTGTTGAATTCGTCATGATGGGCTAATTGACCTGCTTCATCCTTATTTATCATCCATCATTGGTACCTTGTTAGTATATACCGATAGCACCGGCGAGGTAACCATTCCTTTATCATCCATTAAAAAAAAACCTCTTCTTAGTGCCAACCATATAATTCACCGTTTGATTTTGGAAATTGTGACAGAATCACAAACATTAAAATATTGGATAGATTTAGAAAAAATATGGAGCCTATGAACACTATTAAGTAAAAAAAGTCTTTCTTTGGTCATGTTATGAGGAAAGATAAGAAAAAATTGCTGATCAAAAATCAGTAGGCACTTCTGGTTGAGGAAATATTAATACAACACTATCTCGTTATTCAGAGCGGCAGCCGTAAAAATATAAATTGCGGATGCTGTGAAAATTTCGATATTAGTGGAGCTCTTTATAACTTGATGACAGTGACGGTTCTATGTATAGTGCAATTTTGAATCGATTAATTACGAAATAATAAATCATATTACTTCCTCACCATCGTCACACAGCAAGCTAATCGTTCCATTTCTTACCTCTAATGTCTTAGCCATGAGAATATCTCCGCGCCCAATAACAACATAATGCACCAAATCCATAGGTTCCGTGGCAGTGATTCGAGCACGCATCTCGTCTCCAACACTCGTCCCCCTAGTGAGCAGCTCCATGGTCAGGTATTGGTTTGCTGAACCCTGACTGCTTTGCACATTCACCACACGCTCTGTCACTTCCTTATATCGGACCTGCACAAATATTACAAAGAGTGTAATTTTTTATAGCAATATATTTTGTTACTAAATTTAGTATATAAATAAATAAATACGTTGTGAAAATGCAAATAATTAAAAAATAAGTAAAAGAATTGTAACAATATTTGTATATTATTATTATATTTTTCTCTTTTTCATTTTATTTAAGGACTTTTATCATAGAATGATATTTCCCGTATAAGATTATATTTCTATATTTAATTTTGGTAATTCGTGATAGCATCAAATCTTAATTAACTATATAATATTCTTTTGTCTATGTTTTTAGTATAAATCTAATAATAAATTTATAGTCTACTTAATTAAATAATTAGATGTAATCAACCAATTTGGTTGATCAGTTTTTGGTAAGTAATAATAAAACTGTACTTCTTTTTACAACAGGCCTTTGTAAATACTTATCAAATTATATGTTACATTGGTAATATTTTCAGATAAACAGACTTAGAATGTGAAAAATAGAAGAATTTCAATAATACCTGTAAATTAAGTGTTGAATTAGTATACGCGGGCTCTGGTATAATAGTATAAGTGGCGAAGCCGTTTTTCAGAGAAACTGTGGTAGTGTTGGGTGGCGCACCATCGTCCCAAAGGCGTTCGACCGTAATCTCGCCGTCAGTGTTCATTATTTCTCCAGATGAATTTGTTACTTCAATCTAAAGAAACAAGCGAAAATTATTAATTTTGTAAAAAGGCGTTTTCAGTGAATTGTGAAGAAAAATTTTCTTTCAACATAATATTTTTTTTACTAGGTAAATTTATCAAAACCTATTCACAAATAGAATAATCCTTCTCAAAGTTGTCTATTATACCCGATATTTTGTTTATCCAGAATTGCAGCACTGGCAAAATAAAGTTCTCACTCAAATTTTGCCACTACACAGCTATGTACTATAACTATGATTTTTTTATATCACTCGGTTGGCAAACAAGCATACGGCCCACCTGATGATAAGTGGTTATCGTAGCCTATAAACACTTGCAATACTAGAGGTATTACGCGCGCGTTACCGACCCTGAATTTCTTTGAGAAACGTTACTTACTTCATTTTCATTGTATTCAGAAAATGTAAAAGTGTACAATCTGATGCCATATTATATATATGATGTTTAAATCTTGCTACAATCTAAATAAAACTTCGTTTTAAATTGCTATTACCAGTTTATGATGTTTAATTTTTAACAATTTTTAACAATTCAGAGACAAGTTCTTTTAAGAGACTTCTATAACTAGCAGTTAAAACAAAAAATAAGTATACCTGATCAGTCTTTTGTGGAGTTTAGAAGCAAAGCGGAATAATCGCGTTTGGTTCCCATTTTATACTTTTTACTAAAGATTATTATTAAACTTTGTATTTTCTTAATGAACGTTAAGAAGTTTTTAAAGTTCATTAAAAAAAGAAGACAGCACTAATAGAAGGATTGTGCAGACAATTTTATAGGTAAACGAGAACATTCTAATTTATCAATGTCTCTTTAACAACTATTTAAAATGAAAATCTACAAATTAATAAAATCTAATTATGAAAATTCATGATTGCTTTTGGCGATGTGATGTAACAATGTTTTTATTTTTTATTCATTATGCATAACCGTTAAAAATATTAGCATAAAATTACAATGATGCTTACTAAAGTTATGCAGAAAAGATACATTTGTCATAGCTGATTTATTCGTAGAACATAAACTGTATTCTAACCTGAACATTGTAAGGTAGATTTGGCTTGAAGTAATCGGGCGCTGTGACCTTCAGCCTGTATGGAGTTCTCAATAAAAGTATCCTCGATGATACGTTTTGTCTGATGAGTGTATCTTTTTCCTCTATAACGGCTTCGATAACTAAAGGCCGCGCTTCGTCTTCTGCGAGGTCTAGGTCAGTTTTGAGGTCGTATGTAACTTGTGTATTGCCATTGATTTCGAATACTTTCCGAGAAGGCGATGAATATACTGGTTGCAATAGTCCCGAGAAGAAGACAATATACGCTGAAATTGTTAATTCCCCACGCACCGGTAAGCCGTTGAAATGCCTGAAATATATATTATTAATATTAACTAAATATTTATGTTAGGTTACCCGTATTGCGATCCCTTTTTTAAACCATCATTGCTAGTTTTTGCTAAATTTGTCACGATGGACCAACTGCCCTGATTTCATCCTTATTTTCGACTTATCGTCTTTCAGTGATGTCCGGCCAGCGTAAGCCTATAGTGCTACTATTCCATTCTTATTTATTAAAAAATCAAAGTGACCTAAATACGGGTCAGTATGTTTCACTAATTATAATTTGACCCCATTGGGAAAAAATACGGATTGACTACTAGAGGCAATATTTCATAGGAGTCTCTGAATAGTGTATATGTATACAGTTAACGAAGTGTGTGATTATATAATGATATTATAGCATTTTTATTACGATACTTCACAAAAATGGCAGGAAATTGTGAGTATAATTTCAGTGTTAAATACTCTAAGAAAAAAATCCCTCAAAGACACGGGTATTTAGATTCTGTAATAACATCGATGGCACTAAACATAGTTTTTTACGTTCAATCGATTCAGTTTATACAAGTACAATGTCAATAGATGATAACTACAACAAAAACTGGGCTTTGGGCATTCAGATAAGACAAGGAACCTACTTCTTACAGACGAATAAACCGTCCATATAATGAGATTTACTAAACATTAATATAGAAATATCCAAGTGAATAGTTATTTTAACATCTTTTAAATGTAAGAATAAACTAAAGTTATTGTATTATTTAATGATACAAACATAAGAGAACGTAAATTACATAAGATAAAATAAAATATACCTAAGAATAAAAGAGAATAAACGAAATAAATACACCACTATATTTGAGTTTAGAAGTCTCTGAACATACAAGAATGTGAAAGATAAAACAAGAAATGTTTTAGGAACTGAGATTGTTCGTAGTTAGTATTTTTGCTTATCCTGTAAAGACTTGGTATAAGATATATAAAAATAGAATATGTGTAAAATAATACAAACTTGGCAGTAACATCGATGGTGAACCGTCCCTCGCTGAAAAGTAGCTCCTTTGACATTTGTAGATCCATTTGGAACTTGGGCATGACATAGTCTGCCACTAATATCTGTCGCGAATATGTCTGCCCACGGATTTCCACCTGTTACACAATACAGCATTAATATGCAAACGTTCTTCAAACGTCGGATAATTACATCAAAATTATAGAGGTCATGTTGAATTGAATAATAAAATATATCACTTGCATAATTAATTACTTCCTGTTGTAGATCGTTATCTTGTATTTGTTCTTTCCGAAATTTATTTGAAGATTTTGAGTATGGTTTCGAATTAAATATTTAAATCACCCTAGTTGCCAATATAATTTAGAAATAGTCTTTTTTTTCAAATAAAAATGCAAGAACTAAGTAACTGACTTCAGATATCTCAAGATTAACTCAGGTGGACACCAAAAATTTTGTTAATTGAAATTTCCAACAAATTTTATGGTGATGGAAAATACTGTTAACAGGCAAAACTAATCCTGTTGAAACCAAATACGCTAGACGTAATTGTAAAGTCACGGTCGGGACTTAACGCAATTTATATATTTAAAACAATTGACGAATACTTATATAATATTATATATTTTTTAAAATATATTTTGATGTTAGTTATGAAAACTGGAGTTAACCTGAATAGTCCATTCTCCTAGTGCCGGCTCATCAGCAAGAGTCAACAGGTCAGTGAAAAGCCCCCTGTCTAACGTTACTGCAGCCCACTGCCTGACCGGGGAACCTCCTGCATCTAGCACGTTCACGTCCACTGTACCAGTCAGCGGCAGTAAGTATCTATATTATAAGCAAATATACCTATTTTATTTGTTTTATTTTCAGTAACATGAAAATTTACAACTAGTAGCTGCATGAATACATTCAGTACAGCAAGCTGGGCCAATTATAATTTTTCGCTATAATTCGCTTTAAAAAAGAATAACTATAAAAGTTATTCTTTTGAAGGATTTGGGGGAAATTTTATGTTACTATAAATAGATTTTAGATATATTCAGCGTAATATATACATTGTATACTATATATTGATTTTTCTATAGTTTATAAAAACTTTATAGCTAAGTTCAAAGGAATTCTACTTTTATTATTGTTTTATTGTGATTTATACGACACACTTATCTTGTTATTGCTCCATATGCTTCTTCATATATATAATATTATGTTAAAGAATGACTTCGCCATACTTGTGATTGCGCTATACCACAATGGGTAAGAATATGTGGAGAGAATAGCTAGGAAAATTAGGTTTCAAACTCAAAAACCAGCTCATAAACCGATAGACCGACAAAGTATTTGTATCTTCATAGCTGTTGTTGACTTGTGTAACAGAAATATTTACTAGTTACACCATAACCTGCATTATAAGCATTGGGGTCATCGACCGCGTCGTAATCACACGTAATCTTACACGCATGAACTGTTTGTGCCAGAGATGGCATCGAAATCGAAAGTGTCTCCGCTAGTCGCGCTGCGATGTTATTGGCTTGTATGAGTAAGGCGTTAATGAAATCGCTAGAGAAACTTGAATCTTAAACACTTAACTGTCATGTTATTCTTATAACATTTTTTTGTCTTCAAATTCATGAAAAATATTTTATCTAAATTTATTAGGCATATTCGTAATTGCTAAAAGATCCTTTATATTGTCTTCCATATGTGTGTACCCACACACCTATTAAGTTGCGGAAAACGTGAGTAATTAATTTAGTTATTTATTAGTACTTACATTGGTCAGTTGTGTATAGATTAGTCAGATACAATATATTCGTAATTAACTATTTATAACATGGGGGGAGAATTGTTATTAATTGAGACTAGTGGCCCTGTTACTATAATACATATATACTATTAGTAAACCATCCCTCCTAGAAATCGTCATGGTTAATTATCAGTGTTTTTGTCTCGATCTGTCAACTGTCTTAACTTCATCCACACCTATCATCCCTGGTTTACCTCCAGCTTATAGCGATATATATAAGTGTATCAATACCGCAGGCGGGCTTTACCTTATTTTCATTATTACAAAAAACTAGATATATGTTATACTAGAAGTTATATAGGTGTCTATTTACATATATAATGGTGACTCACTTGTTCAAGGCGATAACTCGTAAGTTGATGGTATCTCCTGGGTTATACACGCGTTTGTCGGTCTGTACAAATATACAGAAACTGCGTTGTTGATATACTAGCGGCGCTGATGATGAGAACAATGGCCCTGATGTGGACCGTGCCACTAATGAATATTGACCTGGACCTAGGTCTCCAATCTGTCAACAAATTAAAGTACTATTAAAAACAAGATGCTAGAGCAGAATATTGTAGATTGAAAAAAGAAAAAAAATGCTTACATTGAATTCGACATGTCTGGAGGTAGCTGCCTGTACTTGTACCTCCTGCCCTTGTGTGAACTGTTCACCATTAGCGCGTCTACCCTCCACAGCCACGTAAAGGTTGTGGGCACGGGACCCGCCAGCTATAGCCACGCTATACGTGCTGAATGGCCGCAACACTTTGGGACCAACCACAGATATGCTGAAATTAAAAATATCATTATGAGATGCTTTTATAATTAAAGTTCTACGGGAAGTACATGACTTCATGAATAGATTCTTCAGCCCGACAATGCTCAACACTATCTTACAGTACCATAAATGTGTTGTATCTAAGTTAATTAGTGCCTGTGATAATAATTTGTCAATAAGGAATAATTTGCTATTATGAATACCATTTTTCTTTAGATGAACTCTTTCTTTGTTTGCTATTTGAAGTTACATAGATATTACTCATAATTATTTTATTACCCCTTGCCTCTTTGACTGCTCAATCAATCGTCACAAAACGAGACGAGTAAGATAAACAAATGTACTCATAAATATGTATTTATTTTGTGGGGATCGAATCCGTAACCGTTGAAAAATAAATCGGTAAGAGAGAAGTAGAAATTTTATATTCGCATTGATCCTACATAATAATAATAAAAGCATATTACTTACCATTGTATCACAGTAGGGGTAGATATAACCACAATAATGCAACATATGACGAACCGGTGATCCATCATTCTAAAAAAAATATATTAATAATTTATAATAATGTTTACACAATTACTTTTATCAAAATTTGAAACGATCTAGTTTTCATTTCTCTTCAATTTGGGCTCTTAAAAGAGACGCGTAAATAATTATTGGTAATAATAATATAGCAGCATTGATGATGTATGATCACATGTTTAATTACATCATTTTTAAAATAATGACGTAATTTTATACCTTTTTTTGCATTAATTACTTTGAAATTTATTTTTAATTGTAAGGGAAGGAACAAACACAATCAACTGTACTTATAGAACGTAGACGTATTATCATGTACCTAGTCATATTTTTAATATAAAATATTTAATTATAGATAGACTTACATTCTCATTATATTATAGTACTGTTTACACATATATAACTGTTTGTGCTATCATTTGGATTTAGCCTTTCTTGTAGATAAAATTATGGACGTTCGTGGGGCGACCTATGGAACAGCGAGAATATTTGACGATGTATTAACATCATCAAATATAAATATAGAAAAAAAAAATTAAATAGAGATATTAATTTTTATTTGATATTTTTTATGGACAACATAAAAACATTCTACCGAAGTGATCTGCCTGGGTAACTAAGTTCTACTCGTGTTTCTGCCATGACGTAGTCGTGGCTGTTGGCTGTGTTCTGATTTGAAGGGTTGGATGTCGCAATGAAATTACAGTGTATGGAAGCATAACACTATAGCCCGGGGGGATGGGATTGTTAGTAATTGGGAGGTTAGTCGCTATTGTAATCAATATACCCTATCAGGTCGGCCTCCACGCGATTACCTCTTTTCACCATCGTGACAAATTTTTTGTTGAATCCGTCACGATGAGCTAACTATGTTAGCTCATCGCGACGTGCCTTTTCATCATTATGCATCTTTTTTCATCCTTACTGGTGCCTCGCCAGTGTATACCGATAGTGCAAACAGGGTTACCATTTGATTATCATCCATTAATAAAACACTATAGTCTTCCTAGCGTATACCAATAACGAAGATGGCGTTACTATAAATAAAATCGTTGCTTACGAGTATAAATATAACACCATACTGTTCAACGGTAATGCATCATGCATGTCCATGGTGTTGTTCAGGTATATAGATGATGGTTACCTTTCAATTCATTTACCATTATCAATATTATAAAAAAAGAAAACATGACGCATAGTCAGACACGAAATGTCTGAAAAGTTTTTAAATATTTATTAGATATGTATGTAAATAATAGTTTGTTTCGTGATGCGTATCGCGAAGAGGAAGTAGGTTTTATTTACATACACAAGTAGATCAAAATCTAATACTTTAATAATTTACAAGTGTATTTACGAACTAATATTTTACTTAATCCGTGATTAAAAATAGCTATAACAACAACATATAGCTCTATAAAATACACAATACTAGTAAACTTGTAAAAAACATTAATTCATGAGTTAATATTTATTATTGAAATAAAATTATTAAACGAATATATTTTGTGAAGTAGTACCTTGTAGGTTTCGTGTAGACTAATACCCTCCTTTTGGAAAGTCATGAATTTTCAGAAAGTAAGTTCTAAAAATTTGTTTTCTTGAGCTGTCGCTCTACCCCTCTATTTAATATTAGACTAGTTTGAAACTCATTCGTCGCTTTTATAGTGTAAAATCAGTTCAAATTTTCAAATAAAATAATGATTTTAAGTTATGTAAATGGTACCTTCTTATTTGATTCATCGTCATAACATGGTATCGTGGGTGAACTGTTTATTACATATGTATGTTCAAATGTTTGTCATACCTATTGAGCTCACCGTCCTTGTGTCCCAGCTCGTCTGACTCATTACGTCAACATTTCGCGTTGGCGGAACAGCCTTTTTTGACTAATATGGTAAAACAAACTTGACTTCAGCCTACATACTCGTTTTTCAATAAATAAACACTTATATTTTCACCATAATTACTTAGGTGCTTTATATTTTTAATTTCATGAATGTTACTCATAAGTACGTATTAAATATTATATAGTCTCAATTACGTTTGTTAAGTGGCGTATGATAGAGGTATATAAGTTTGTAGTTACAAACTTTCTCCTAAAAAGCGCAGCATCGTGCGGGTGTTTACTTCCATGCTCAACAAAACAATCGAAGTAGTAGACAGTGCTACTCTCAATAATACTTCCTACTTGTACTTATACTTATGCAAGCTAGTTTTATAAACTGAATTCACACGATTTCTATATCTACAGATACACCCGTCTGTAGTAGACTCTTGAAGTTATAGTAATGATTTATAGTATACTCTTAGGCAACACATGAGATTTCATACAGACTCCGAGTATAATAAGTGCAGTAATAACAGAATCCACAGACCTTAACTCTCAGTCACCGGAATTACTTCTTACACATAAAAATTATCACTATATCACAGTAGGTTTCATTCGGGTGCTCATAGTTCGTATAATGTTATATGGACGCGGTACACCGAGTCCGCGCGAGATGCAGTTCGACAACTGACTGGCTGCGGCGCCTGCGCAGGCCGCAGGTGGGGCGCCGCGAAGCCTTGCGAAAATCCGCCGCCACTGACCGTGCCGTTGCACCTACACTATAAATTTTATAACCCGTAGATATTTGTATATGAATGAATTGGTAACTGTATAAATGGTAATCTTTCTAAAGATATACGAAAACCAGTATCTATCCAGTTACTTAAGTGCTGTACTTTTCTTTATCTCATCATATCCATAAATAAAATAGAAAGTACATATATATAGATATCTAATGGTAAGGCGCACATAAGCTGATATATATTCAAATATTATAGGGTTACTTGGTATACCTAAGTACATCTGGTCCAAGACTGTGAAAGTATTCATATGTGCTTAATTTTTTTTTGGCAAGTATCTAACACCTGCAGACGGATAATCATGCAAATTATCGTTGACGGTCAGGAGGTGATGCGATACGGAGCTAGCATAGTGCATTCCAAGAAACGAGTTTTAGAGACGCTGCACAATAGACGCGCATTGATTGCAAGATAAAGTAGTAGATATTGCGTAGTTAGTATATAGGTAATATTGCATAGTAAACGTAGGTGCTTAAAGTAATTTTTGGTAATCAGTATCATAAATAGATCTCATTAATATATTTATTGGATATGGCAGTGAATTTATGGTACTATACCTACAGAGGAATAACATCTGAGTCCTCAGGAATGGCAACGCATGGGAGTATCATAGGCGAAACAGCATAGTCTGTTATGTCTATGGTACTGCTTATGTCTATAGGCGACGGTTACCACTTTCCATCAGGTTAGCCGTCAGCTTGTTTGCCATTCTAAGTTAATTTATAATCATAAAAAAAATATAAAATATACTTATATGACTTTTTTACTTGTATTTCTACGTAGGTAGTTTAAAAATTTCACATAATTTGTGTAAAAACTAAATATGTATATTATTTTTATTAGATTAGTTTTGTTATTGAAACAATTTAGATAGATATTGCTATTTATCGCAATTAAATTTCATTCCAAAAGCAAATATGTAGAGACACCTTCCTTATCTTACTAATATAATAAAATTGTAACTAGACGTTGTCTGTATATGGAAGATATTTAAAAAAATATAATATGAGGTGTCTTAAGATGCCTAAACAACAATGTTTAGAAATTTTATCTGTCTGTAAGTTTGTTTCGGTATCATGAAAAAACTATTGTATCATATTTAATGTGGTTTTCACAATCTGAAGATCTACCTTGAAAACTGGTGTAAGTTTTATCATGACATGTCATCTAGAAATGGTCTATTTCATTAACTTCCTTATTTCTGAAATCCACGCGTACGTAATAGCACGCAAAAAAGTAAGTATTTATCAAGGGATATCGTCATCATTATGAAATTATGTATACATAATTATATGGTAATAAATATATACTAATTAGTATTATTTTTGTTGAAGAAATATTATTAATCCTGTTCACTACATGACGAATTAATACTTAATCAACTTTGTTAATTTTATTTTATGAAGGTGACTTCAATATGTGTTAGAATTTAGTTATGCAGAGTCATTAATATCTGGAAACCTGTTTGAAATACAAAATTAAAACATGATTTTTGTAGCATTTTCGTATTTCAAAAGATCTTTATTATTATCTAAATTATTTTATTTACATCTAGCTTCGGAAATTTTTATATCTTATACACTATGATTATAATAAACCAGACTACCTAATGAAGCTAATTGGTGCATACTAGAATTAAACCAAAATTGATCTGTTGAAGACAAATATAATTTTATTACGATGAATAAAATACTTTTAGAATTAAATACATTTATTTATTCAGCAAGAAATGCATCAATTGGACAAAATTGCGTAGGATTGGAGCTTTCAACCGGTTTGGCCGACTGTGAAGATTGTGAGGCGGTGTTATCGTTAGCGTGCAATCTCGCTGCCAGTGTAGCATTATCAGAGAGTGCGTTTGCTAAGGCACGCTCGAGTCGAGCGGCCCCCGCTCTCTCTGCTTCTAAAGCTGCTCTTGTTTCGGATAATGCGTTAGCATCGTGATCAACTGTTTTCGTATTCGAATTACAATTCTTAGAATACTCTGACAAACGAAGTTTTAGTTCAGCTACCAGTGCTGCAAGCCTGGTAACTTCGGCTGAAATTTGTTTAAAGTTATATAAACGCCGTCTGCTCACGGTAAAAAAATTTAATTCCTTGTACAGGAGTTGTCTGCTTGGATACCTTTGTTCCATTCTTGTTTCTACCGTGAAGCACCTGTGCTTTCGTGGCTGTTCGGTTTTCGGTACAGTGACAAACACTACAATTCTCAACAATGCATGAAATGCTATAGGTATCCCAATATATTTTGAGAAGTTCATGATGCTGTTTATGTCTATAGGTGACAATCATTTTCTATTAAATGGGCCGATAGTTTGTTGTTTACTACAAGTTGCATAATTATAAATTTTATCAACCGACTTCACAAATAAGGAGGTTATATTTTTTTACTTGTTATCTCATAACACCGTCAGTTAGAAACCGATTTGAAAAAACCTTTTTTTATCCGTAATGATATACTTATAAATTACTTCCATAGAAATTTTATCAAAATCGGTTCAGTAGTTTAGTTTTGGAATCAAAATAACTGGTTATTTGGTAGTTATAGTGTCAAGATTAGTGTTAGATAGCCGGGTCTTACAGTTAGCTGCGAGTAATTCGCGCGACGTGTGTTGCAGCTCGGCAGCTGACAAACGTCTCTCACGTGCGTGCGCTGCTGCAGCTAAGCGTGCTCTTTCCCTTAACTCTGACCCCCCGGCGGCACACTTCTCGACTCTTCGAAGGTCGTTTTCCAAACGAGATACCTCACTAAATTAAATTTATATTTATATACAATAAAAAAGAAGAAGACTAACAGAATACAATCGCATATAGTTAATCATGTGGAAATATGCGCATTTTATTTTCTGTAAATATTGTGTTTTTTGGTTACTACATAACATGATTAATCATAAGAAACCCTATGCCAGCCGATTTATTCTTACTTCTACTTAATGATAAAATGAAGACATTATGACAAATAATTTTCTACATATACTTTTTTGTATATCTTTTTATACAGATAATAAAAAAAAATCATGTTCTTTTTAGAATTAGTTAATAAAATTCATTTCTAATATCGGTTAATCTTAGCAAAGATGTATGTCTAGTAGCAAAAACTGTATACAAGATGTACTTAGACGTAATTTAAGTACCTACGAGTTTCTTCAGTTGCAATTCGGACACGTTCCTGTAACTCCATATATTGCCTTTGGAGAGTAGAATGTGCCGCTTGTAAGGGTCTCAATTGTTGGACTTCCCTCTCTAGCGACACTATTTGATCAGATATTGTTGAGCAGCGCTCTTCCAGAAGAGTACGCTGACGTTCCTATAATATATATATTTTTTAAATATTGTACTTATTTCTCAAAAATAAATTGTTAAATAAATATTTAGGCTCGGAACATATTTTTCTTAATTTGCTTGGAAATTGCTTCATTATTATAACAAAACAATGCGCTGGTAGGTACATCAGTTCTTTTCCGTTCTCTAATCAATTTTCATTGTCTAGATTATACATTGTTAAATTATACAAAACACCATGTAGATACTTTTAACTGTGAATTGAACTGTAATGTTTCTTGAATTAATTGATGGTTTTCGTATATAAAAAAAAAAAAAAAACTTATGTATACAATTTTTTGCCGACATAACAAGTGACGGTATTATTTAATTAAAAAGAGCTCAGCTATGTCGTTTACTTTTTAAAATTACTTGGGACGCATTTGACTTCACCTCGTCCTTCCAATACTACTCAATTGGCAATTGCTTTACATTTTAATATGGTAGGCAATTAGTCGCCTTTGTATTTACAGGCTCGATAATAATATATGTGTAGAAAAATTATTGATTATATATTACTTTTTAAAATACTTATAATTCGTTTCACTGTTTTTATCGTAAAATATTTTTATTATTTATATAGGAGACCGGTTTGAAACATTCTCAGACGTATACCAAAAAAAAAACAGGATCACGTCTTAACGTAACGTTTCTTAAAACTGATGGAGTGCATGTAAGCATAATAATGGAAGTGGATTTTAATAATCGACAGAACGTAGTTCTATCATGAAGTCACAACATAAATGGTGATTTACATAATTGCCAACAATTTATATAACTGCCTGGAATCAGCGTCAAATCGCAATAAAGACAAACAAATTTATCCATTACCGTACTAAATATCGTAAATAACCCATTAAAGAAAATTAAAATAGATACTTAGTATGAACCCTAAGTATTCGGAATTTAGAGGTCATGCTCCAGTTTTCATAGTACAGACAGGGTAGTTATCCTAGTTGATTAGTACTTACAACTTTTTCTGAATTATCGATGAAAAGTGTTAACTTAATAAAAAATAGTAACTTATTATCGACATCATAAATTAAGCTGTGACACTTATGGGACTTCTCACACATTGTCACTGAGGGCTGTTCATCATGCATTTTGTTTCAGAGGATGCTCTAATCTATATAAATCTATATCTATAGAAATAGAAGCTCAATAAAAATAAAATAGACGTATTGGTATAGTTTTTTATAAGTGAAAATGGAATAGTAACTCCGCTTGCGCTATCGGTATATGGTAGTATCGGTATTTGAAGGACATACGGCTAATTCTAGTTGAATTTTAAGGCCAGTGATTTCATCTTGAGCCTTAACGAGGGTTCCGGTGGCCTGTGAAGCACCAGCAGTGGCCGCCATAGCTGCGCTACGGGCTTCAGTGGCGGCTCGTTCCGCGGCCTCACGAGCTGCTTCTGCTGCCTCAGCCTTTATGGACTCAGTACGTAAAGCATCTCGAAGGCGTCTTTCAGAATCCTTATATTGGGAAATAAAGATATATATGGAAAAAAGTTATGCCTTCTTTTATTTAAATAAGTACTTGTTTTTAAATAATACCTTATATAAAACTGTATTTTGTCAATATTAATCGGATAACTGATTTTGATATCGGACAATAGTATGGTAGTTTGTTACTTACTGAAATAGATCGGAACTCGCCGATTATATCCAAGAATTGTTGTTCAAAATTTTCAAATTCTGTATTAATACCCATATTTCAATAAACAATAATTGTGTGTGAACTAATTTGAAAAATATCTTTATTTTTTATTTTTTGTTTTGTATTTTTATTGCGCTTGGCGGGAATTTTTGTCTATGGTTAAAGGATAAGAGATTTTTTTTTATTAATATCAAAATTTGGCAGTTAGGTAATTGATTATGGTCTTTTCTTATTGTTATTATTCAAATTTGATATTGATATTAAATGGGTTCCTTTAATCCTAATTCTCATAGACAAAGTCTCTGCACGCTGTTAGTGGACTATAACGCAGTACGTAGAATTGTTATTTGTTTGTTATCAGAGCAATTTTTAAATAATCAATCAGAAATATTAAAATTACTAAATTGATTTTGAAAATTGACAAATTGAAAAAATTGAGGTAATTTCGACATTCCCACACCTCACTGAGCTTTGTAAATAGAAAATAAGTAGATATGCTAATATACATACCTTTATATATATATGGGAATATGTATCATCTATCAACGCATTAATGTTCCATTGCTGATTACGAGAGTAACAATAATAAGGAATTTTGCAATACTATTAATTCCGGCATCAAGGCATATATAAAGTGCGAGAGATTTGGACATGGGATTCTTAGTCCATCACCATAAGGAATACTTATAGATTACGAATTAATTACTTAAGCCACGGATAATATAATACTATACTAGCATAAGTTGTCTTAGAATCTAAGCTTTGAATATATTATCAACTTACCTAATATTAATAAGTATGAATGGGGGGAAAGGGATTGTTAGTAATGGAGACTGAGAATCCTATTGCTAGTAATATACCCAACCAGGTCGACCTCCTCGCGGTTCTCCCTGGAAACTATCATGGTTAATTCCTGATGAATTCATCATGATGGGCTAACTGGCCTGTTTTCATTCTCATCTATCACCCTTCACTGATGCTCCGCCAGCGTATCCCGTTAGCGCAGGCAGTGTTACCATACCATTTTCATCCATCAAAAAAAAAATAAGTATGAATGGGGGGGAAAGGGATTGTTAGTAATGGAGTCTAAGAATCCCATTGCTAGCAATAAACCCAACCAGGTCGACCTCCTCGAGGTTCCCCTGGAAACTATCATGGTTAATTCTCGATGAATTCATCATGATGGGCTAACTGATCTATTTTCATTCTCATCTATCACCCTTCACTGGTGCTCCGCCAGCGTATACCGTTAGCGCAGGCGGGGTTACCATACCATTTTCACCCATAAAAAAAAAGTATGAATGATAACAAGAGTTCTGTGATATAGTTTAAATTACCTTAAAAGTAATAAGTAAGCAGTATCTAATTACCTTTTATTCTTTTTCTTTTATTTATTATTTAGCTTGTTATGTAATTCTTAACAGAATGGAAACACCGAACAAAATGAGTTTTTTATTATTATGATTGTACAAGAGCAATAACGTCTAAAAATAATCTTTTGATCTCGGCGGAAAAATAATTTATCAACACCTAATGGGATCAATTTAGACGATTTCATAATTGAAGTGTGTCAATTTTCATAGTATCTTTATAGAAGACGCAGCTTGTGAGGGGAATATTAAAAAAGGGGGAGAGTTGTTTTTCCACGGGTTGAACTCGGTACATATATAAACCTCGGTTAACCTTACAGTTATTCATTCGCCCTAAGATTTTCCAACAGTGAGTTTAAAATAAATACTTACTGACGTAGTAAGATAATCTATTATTGATTTATTGTAATTTAAAGATTTACCTTGTAAGTATTTATCACATTATTTATATTGTTTCATATTTAAAATAGATATTAAGCAACTTCATTAAGTTGTTATAGATACCTACTAGCAACTCGAACATTGTATTGAATGAAACATTTACTCATTGTGTAGATATACTTAGATATCTATTTATCTATTTTAAATTTAGTATTTTATTTAGCATGAGGAATAGATAGGTGATTCATAATTAGTAGAAATTATATCAACATCGATCCAGTAGTTTAGTTTTAAAATCAAAATGATTGGTTTGGTTGAAATCGGCTTTTTTTTTGTGGAATACAAATTATATTCTACAGAATACATTTATTTATATTAGTGTAAGAGTTTATTAAAATATCAGTTGTCTAATACCCACAGTACAAATTCTGCTTGTATCTAATGAGCGTTATGTAATTATGTCCATCAATAATTACTGTTTCATTTTAGATACCAAACCTTAAGCATGCGGGTCGTAACGGTCATCGTGTTAGCGATGACTGTAGTTACAGCTTTACTCCTGCGGTGCAGCGACGGGGCTAACTTGCGCGGCTTCGCGATACCCGAGGACGACGACGAGTACCGACCAAGGCCTCTATATAAAGATTACAGCCTGATACGAGGTCGTGTTGCTAGGGCAGATGACTCCTTCGATGACTACGGCCACCTGAGGTTCGGTCGCTCTGACGACTGACCCACGCGCGCCTCCATCAAGCGACATGTCTCCGCTCACAAAACACGATCGCTGATCAAGTCATGCCGTAACTAATAGTCTTTATTAGATACCCATTAAATGGATTGAACAAATAATATTAGGCTACGGATAAGATTATAAACCAACATGAAATATCATGTGGCTGGCAAGGTATTTTATGTTTACTGATGTAATTAATATATGTTTAGAAATTATTATGTAAATATATCATAGTCATACACTAAATGGTCTTATTTACAATCGAATTCTTTAGGGTCCTAATACTTCATATAGGGGGAAAAGGGATTGTTGGCAATGGAGTTTGACAGCCCCATTGCTAGCAATATGCCCTATTAGGTCGATCTCCACGTGGTTCCCACTGGAAACCATCGTGAACAATTCTTGTTGAATTCGTCACGATGGGCTAACTGACCTACTTCATCCTCACCTATCATCCTTCACTGGTGCCCCGCCGGTGTATACCGATAGCGCGGGTAAGGTTCCCATTTCATTATCACCCATTAAAAAATATTTCATACAGGGGGGGAAAGGGATTGTTAGTAATGAGGTCAAGTAACCCCATTACTAACAATATACCCTGTCAGGACGACTTCTACGTGGTTCCCCCTGGAAACTATCGTGGTTAATTCTAGTTGAATTTGTCAGGATGAGTTAACTGACCTGCTTTCATCCTCATCTGTCATTTCTCACTGGTGCTTCGCCAGTGTATACTGATAGTGCAGGTGGGGTTACCACCCATTAAAAAAATACCTCATACAAAAAAGTATCTATATAAAGAGGAATACAGTAAATTAAACACATAAATAATATTTCGAAATATGTAATTTAACCAATAAATATTTTTAAACAGATTAATTACAATAAACGTGTTACATTTCGACTAACGAAATCTGCAAATATCAGTGTACAATACACTATTTTCGTGTATTTTAGGCATATAACTATATCTCTGAGTTCCAAATAATTGTAAGATTCATTAAACTTTATATATTTCTAACACAAATATTCCCCCCTTAAAATTTCTAATATTTCTATCGTTGTAGTAAGGCCATGAATTCACGAATTGCAACATTAATAAAAATATAATTATCTAGATCATTAACAACAGCAAATTGTTTATTTCATAAAAAATCATAGCTAATTTATTTCCATGATTCCAATGTTTTAATGATAAAGTGAACAAAAGCTTCAAACTTTTCTATTGTACATTTAGGATGAATATATCTAAATAAGTCACACTAAATTATTCGTTGTACTCACTGGGAATGAATAAATTTTATATATGTCTAATAACATGGCAAAGAAACTTCGAATAATGAATTGATGATTTCTATTCTGAATACATAAGTTTCTATTTGTAAAGGCATTTTATATTATAGATATTATGTGACTACTCCCAAATATTTAAAATTATCTTTTTACACCTATATGGTGAGACTGGCGAGATAAAAATGCGTTAAATGAACTGGTGTCAGTCACCTTACTAAACATTAGGCACGCATGATTTTATTATTCTAATATTAAATTAATATGAGACTAGTTAGTTCTTTTCTTAAACTAGATATTATTATATATTTTATATTATTACAATATTTATATTTACCTTACACACCGATGGTTAATTGTACTTGGTGATAATGAAGCGTATTGGTAGGGAAATCTTTGAATATTAAATATCTACAAAATTAAAAGTTCACAATGACCAAGTTCAATGTGAAAAATTATACAAGAAAATGGTACTCCTAAAGAATATATAGTTTAATAAGACATTTTAGTAAAAAAATATTTAAAACTGATTAATTTTCAGATATCTTTTAACGGAGTCATACCTATTAAATTTCACGTGTTTAACACATTTGAGTATTACATAAACTTTATATAAATAAATCATATTAAGTATTGTACTGCATTTATGGTAAAAACAGGTTCATATGTGAAATTAAATAATATCCTTCTTTTGCGTGTTTCCAAGTAGAGCCTGTAAAGAAATAAAATGAATTATTAGTACTTATATATGCTGTTCTAAATACTCAGACTGAAAGGTACTTAACCTATTTACTTAAATATTAATTTTACGCTTACATGACTAAATGATTTCGAACGAAATTTAGTACAAATGGACCATATTAATACATAAATACTTTGGTTACTTCAATTAATATGGATAAATCCGAGGAAATCACTAATAAATGTACTGACATTAGTATTGGTAGGTATTCATATAACAATATGATTCCGACCGACCTTTTGAATGTTTACTTTTTTCATTTTTGTTTTGTCAACTATATTAGAATCGTTTTAAAAGATTGATTTTTTGTCCATAATCGTGGACTATCACTAAAAATGTTTATACAGGGCAAGTTCTTTTTGGAACATAGTAAGCCTTTAGTATCTACTTACTAATTTATGTAAGTATATTTGTACCTTATTGACAAAATTGACGATAGCTGTGGCCGGTTGCTCTGCCTCGAGCTCAGCGAAAACATGGCATTGATTGTCGGCTCCGGATGAAGCACGCGCCACGAAAGCGAAGATGTTCCTAAAAAAATAATTTGTATTTGAAATGTATATAGTAAACTGGATTTGATTGAATCCAGTCGATTCGTCACACGCAAGAATGATTTTAAATTATTTAAAATTGCTAATAAACGAATCATAAATAAAGCTTAAAATGAATTAGAAAACAAAGATATGAAATTATTTTCAAATTTAAGTTAATTTAAAAGTATATCTACATGTATTAGGAAACGATTATTTTACATGGAGAAGATTCGTAAAAACCTAATGACGGTTAAAATATATCTACTCACTTTTCACTTTGTTTCCCATTGTCTATGTAGGTAAATCGTTTGCCGTCGGGATCCAGGCCAGCGTAAGAAACACCAGAGGCCGGATAGTGTCGCCTAAAGAACAGCTTACGAGCCGAGTCCGTCAGCGTAATGCCACCGCCGAACACTTTGAAATTTACTACGTATGCAGGCAACTGGAATTAATATATACAAATGGATTAAATATTATAAATTTATATTATGTATGTACTAGCTAATATTATATGTAATTGGATGATTTTATTATAATTATTTCAAAATTCTTTATTGACAAGATGTAAATATCTGCGAGTATATCTATTATTAATATATTGTTAATTAATTTTTAAGTCTACGTACTCGTATTTCAAATAACACAAAATCGTTTGAGGGAAAGGAGTTATTAGTAATTAGGTCGAAAAGCTCCATTGCTAGTGAAATATCCCTATCAAGTTGACTTCCACAAGGTTCCCCCTGGTAACTATCGTGGTTAATTTTCCTTAAATTCGTCATGATGGACTAACTGACTTGCTTTCATCCTAACCTATCATATCTCACTGGTACCCCACCAGCGTATACCAATAGCACAGGTGGCGTTACCATTTTATTTCCATTCATTAAAAAAAACAACAACGCTTTTAGGAACTAATTCAGTAAAATTGCTGTTTCAAATTTTTAGGTAAATATGACGTGATATAAAATTTATTATATAGTATACCTTTTTATGTAATATATTCTGTACAGCTCTCTTCACTGCTGCGGGTCCCGTTAAGGCCTCAGTATTCTCTGAACCTAGAAGGAGAACTTGACAAGCTGCGCCTGTCGCTAGCAGTGCCCGCGCAGCCGCATTCGCTGATCCACCTGTCCATAGATCTCTGTAGAAGAATTTTTAACCAGCATGAATATTGTTATAATTAATATAAAGTATCTCATAAGAATAATATTGGAAACAATATAAACGAACCCGTTTAACAGTTTTTAGAAAGGCCACATATCTACTCGTGATATGTTCATAATTAGGTAATTTATACAGGGTTACATGTACTTAATGAGTATAAAGTGAAATGCAGAGATAGTGTTTAGAATGTTGAATTACATACTTGGTTTAAGTAATATTATAAAAATCGAACACATGGTCGAATGGTTTGTTTCTTTATTTGTACAACTTGAAATAACAAGTTGAAATGAAAAAAGTGTAAAGAGAGAAAATATTTTAAAATTTCGACTACATTATTTGGAAAACTTTTATAATCATACTATTAAGCCTGTTGTATTCGTTTCGACTAATACTGTATATAATAATAAAAGAAAGTTTAAAAAATTGTACTTATATATGTATATTCATTTATTAAATAACAATTACCTTTCGGGTAACCTTAGCGGTACGGGAAGAGCCAATGGGGTAACTGTGTGTTGGTATACGAGAGCTGACAATGAGCTGAACACAGGCTCATCAGGACAGCCTCGCAATCGAACTCCTTTCGCTGTCGGTTCAATGAGGAAATGCCTGACTCCGCCAGCACCACCCGCGCGAACCGCCAGACCAAATGCTCCCGGGAATGAATTCGAGTCTCTAACGATAAACGCGCCTTCCTCCAGTGGTAGTAGCGCTGATATAGCTGCAGGGAATGCAGAATAATCGTAAATAAATAATGGAAAACTCGCTGAATAGTATATTCAAATGATATAGACTAAATGTAATATATTAGTAAAAAAAAAGTTATACTAATTAATATGAAAGTTCTTTAAAACAATTTAAACATTTTAAATTGTTAAAATAAGTAGATTAAAATGTTTGAGGTGCGACCAGCAATGATTGATAAGCAGATTTTTAGCAGTTTCTTCATTCAACATGATAGTGAAAAGTGTATAAGAGTCCTGACCGTCGTCCCTGGAGATGTTCGGCTTGTACCAGTAGTGGCTGGTGTCCCTGGCGAAGCGCACCCGATCGGGCGCCACGTGCTGCGGCTCTGCGCTGCCCCCGAGGCTCGACCGCCGCGAACCGATACTACCGTTGTACGTGCGATACTCCACTTCAGGGCTGCTTTCGCGCTCTTTTCTACATATTTTATATGTCATTAATAATATTTACATTATTTAACGTGTGTATCAAGGGAAACACTGAAAAACAAACTATGTGGATATGCCTATTTCAGTTGTGGTTTAGCCACTATTTGTAGACCTGTGTTTTGACTTAAGGTCATAGAGCAATGTATTAATTGGTATAAAAACGAAGGGTATATACAAGTACCATCAGTTTCTACAGTGTTTTTGTGATATCCACGGTGTTATTTATGATGGTAACTACTTTCCGTGAAATGGGCGTTTCCTCGTAGTACCATCATAGCTTATATCATCAGCTTGTTTGCTAGTTCAAGTCATACAAAAATATATCGATGGCACCAGGAATTTGGGGAAATTTCTAGATAGAGAGGTTTGGTATGTACCAAACTTTCTGTTATAAACTTTTTCTTATAACTCATTAGTACTTATAGTATTTACATACTATCTAAACAATTTATTTTAATAAATTGTAATTAAGGTATACCTTAGATCTATGCCTAAACATAGTTTATATAACCCATTAAATGGGCATGGTGTAACAAAAGTGGACCTAAATAAATTTGGCTAAGTATTCGTACCTTGTGACTGGCGGCGATCGCGGAGGGCGCGCGCTGATCGAAGGCGTGGGCGTCGGCGGGTACGGCGTGCGCGGGTGAGTCGGAAACGCGGGCGTGCCCGCGCGCGACTCTGTGCGCGACCAGCTCTCCGACCGCTCACGGATCTATGGACACGTGGCAGATATTTAATAAGTCAAATTTGTTGGAATTGTTACAGAAACATTCTAATTAAAGAAACATATCGAAACAATCAATAATCGATGTTTAATTTGTACTTTTATTGGACATCAATAGGATTCCCAAAGAGGGTTGACGTCAGGCAGGTGGCCGGTCGTAAAATTAAAAAACCAAATCTTTTTGTAATATGGATAAAATCATATTACGCCGACCCCAAATGATTGGGATAAGGGTAGGAAGATCATTGGATATCAATAGACAGACTACGGCTAGTTTCATTATTCGTTTTTTTTTATTCTATTTGATTAAAGTCTAAACAAAAGGCTATAATTATAATACATTGTACTATGTTATCATAAAAAAATGTTAGCCTAAGTCCTTGTCGTAAATGGTAAATTTATATATATATATATACATGTATTAAGTAAATTGAGAACTTACGATAGTGTCATTATTAAGTGGCTCCGCTAAAGATAGCAATCCCGGCACTGGAGTACTTGTTGGCGTAGTATTTGTACTCCATTCTCGCATCGTCATCTTTTCGTACATAAACTTTTTAGAAGAGGTTCTGCAATACATATTTTTTTATTATTATCAACTGTCATTATATATTATAGTTAAAATAATTGTAGTTACGTGTTCTTAAGGTAAGCCAGTTTTTTTTATAGCCGTACATTCATACCTGTCAGGTGCTTGCGGACTGATGCTATCTGTTCGGAGAGTTGAACGTGTTGTGTTAACATGTAAAGGTACGCTAAAGTCGTCGTCATCATCTGCGAATGCTGTCGTATCACTGGTATAGCCATCAACACTAAAAAATATTCAACTTTTTAGATTGTATAAATAAAAAAAAACGTATGTATATAACAAAAGATGAAAGAAGATCGTCAAATACCGATGGCTGGCAGAGCGGCGAACGTTATGAGAAGGGGCAGTATCCCACTCGAGCGGTAGTCGAGCGACTCTTTCCCTGGCTTCTTTTCTTTCTCGTAGCTTTTGCTGTTGCCTCTGTAACCAAGTTAGGCCGGTACTCTCCACGCCACTTTCAGATCTTCGGGGTTCCCTTAGTCGGGAGTTTTCGCGCCAATCTAATGTACTAGCTGATCGCCAGTTCGTATTGTCTGGTGTTTTTCTTGTACTACTTGGCGGTCGTTCTCTCCAATCTGTTTCGCCGTTCAACCATCTGATAACAATTATAGGACACACATATTAAATAAATCGTTTAGATGTTTGTTTTTCATTATATTCAAAAGTTATTATATTGATGATACAGGTACCTACTAAAATAACTCTGTGTTAACACTATTTGGCTAAACTCGCCTAAAATGGACACAGTAGAATCCACGATAACATCTTATAAGTTTTTACTGTTAATACATGCGTAGGTCTGAAGGTTTCAACGCTTATAGGGTAATGTAAAACAAACTTGATCACGTCTAATAATAATGCGCCATGATCATTAATTTAAATTAGAATAATAATCATCTTCCGCAAATCTTTCTGAACGGAATGTGTCACTATGTAGGTATACAAGACAATAAAGTTGTTACTGTGTTGGTGTAATAATACATATAGATAATCACAGATAAAGCAAATATAGGATGCTATTGCTTTTACACAAATAACAGATTTACTTATACATCATTAGAATAGAAAGTAATGACACAGGGGACGGCGGATGTGTACGGCGTCAGCTAGCGCCGCTTAGTCGGTCAACACAGGCCGTTTATGGGGACGTTTATCTCGAAATAGCAACATGTTTGGGTCTAGGCGACGACGTAATCACACTCGGTCAGTTCAAATCAATCGCAGAATTGCGAGTTGCTATAGCAAGTTTTGTCGCGATGCAGAGCTACATGTAAGGGAGTGCAGCTATCCATACAACATAGTTAATGACGTTGTGTAATACTTATATCACGTATGCGTAAGTATCTACTATCTTTTTTTTGATGTAAGAAAATAGAATGGTAACTTCTATCGGTATGGGAGGGGAAGGGATTGCCTGTTCCATTGTTCTCAATATACTGTCAGGTTGACCTCCACGTGGTTTTTCCTAGAAATCATGTTGCTGAATTCCAGATGTATTCATCATGATGGGCTAACTGACCTGCCTTTTTAAGATATTTTTTAACTTAAAAAAGGCAGGTCAGTTGGCCCATCATGACGAATTCACCAGGATTTAACCACGATGGTTTCCAGAGAAAAAGTTAATCTAACATTGTAGGTATATTACCAGCAGTAGTTGATAATCTTTATTGCTAACAATCTTTTTATCTACTATTACTTTGCGCATGAAAAGAAACAGAGTTATTGTTGCTGGACATACGACATGGAAGACCATATTACTCCATAGTGAAGTTCTTATAATAATACCCATGTACTTTTCACTAATATTTAAGCAATTATTTTTTTATTTCAGATTAAGTTTGTTCTAGATTGTAATTGGATATACCTTATCGTTGTATAATTACTTCTACTACAAGATAGTAAGTATTTAGTTATCTGTATTATAGTATATCATATATAGTAATAGGGCCCCGTGGTGTGGTCCCGATATAGAATAGATCGTTCCTTCCCTTCCCGTGGGAGTCGTAAGAAACAATTAAGGCAACTTAGTGGTCGAGGGATGGGCAACAGCAAAACACCATCAATCAAGCACCAGACTAACTGCGGTTTGCAACTCGTCTGCCAAGCCTGGCAACTACTGGGAAAACCTCTCCAATAAGGGAAGGCCTATGTTCAGCAATGGACAATTAACAGCTGATGTGGATATATAGTATTATATTACGCAGTATACCTAATTGTCGGATCACCCTTACTAATATTATAATTGCGAAAGCGAGTTTGTTTGTTACCTAACAACTTCGCTTTCTGTTGTCGCATCAACAGTTTATTTGATCATTATGATATTTAGTATACAGATGCTATGAGACAGAGAAGGATAAAGCTTACTTTTATCCCGTTCATGTCTCGGTAACGTCAATGAATTCGCGGATAAAAACTAGTAGCAAATAATTTAAGAAGTTACTCTACAGAACTAAAAATGACTTCCATTAGTAAAAACTAACGTGGATCGAACATGGAATTAGTGAAGAATTAGAGAAATATATATATATATATATATATATATATATATATATATATATATATATATATATATATATACACACACATATATATAATATATACAGACAAAAATACAAAAAAAATTAAACTGAAAACATGTATAGGTACCTATATGGACTAATATCGTTTACGTTGATTTCTCGAAAATACGCATTAATTTATTATTTTGGACATTTTAGAAGCTATGTATTCAATTAGTAATATGAAGACAGACTTTATTGCTTAAAATATCAATTCGTAATATATATTTAAAAATGTCGCTATACTATCCTTAATCTATGTTTAAAAATGTCCTACACTACACACTGATTTGTCGTTCCTTTGTTAAATACCCGTAGGTATAGCTTTAAATAAAAATATCTGATCTTATTTGCATATCATTCTTTTTGATCAATCAATCAATCAATCAACAGATATCTAAATATCTACTAAAAACCTGTAGTTATAGAGGACTAATTGAAATGATTACAATGTGCCACAGTGATATGATTGACAGCGTCTGTCGCTATTTATATTAGCATCGTCATCATCATTAATATTGTACGAAATACTAGATTTTTGCCCGTTGTTTCGTACACATAGATTCCTAGTTTTGAAATGTACGTGATTTCAGAAGTAGAAAAATCAATGAAATTTGATGACGTATCAAGATAAAAGAATACATTATATTTTAAGTCAGACCATTTTAATTGAAATTGTGTAAACCTTAATTTTGGGCATTAGTTTTTCTTGACGTTGGAATAGAAGAACAGACAGATAGACAATAAAAATATTCTTTTGGAATTTATTGGTCTTATTAAGACTCCTCATACTATCTATGTACAGGCATTCTCTACTTTTAATTTTATTATATTAATAAGATAATACGTAAGTATAAGTATTAAGTAAGTAAGTAGGTACTAATTATAAATACGTTATGGGCATAACATTTCTTTTTATAATTTAGTAAACCGATAAATTATCTCTGAGATAAATTTTATTAGATTTCCTTCAATATAAAGATACCTAATGTAAAATAATAGGTGTTCTAATAGTATAGGTGTTGGCGTTATGTAATTTTGTTTACCTCATTCCATAGTATTAATTCATACATGTTAAGGCACGTGTGTTAAATGTAAATTACGTAGCGCTATGACACTGACAAAGGAAAAACATGTATTGTGTATAATGTAGAGTACACATGCATATTATGGTAAGTTTGACCTCTGGAATAGCTGAATACCTATATCGTTTACGTATAGGTTCATTAATATGTTTCGTAGTACTTTCATTGTGCAGTGAGACTTTCCAATTTTTAATTTTTGTTTTTATGAAGAGTTAAGTTGATTTATTAATGGGTATGTTCTGTACTTTTACGTAACTAGACAAGTAATCTACCAACTAAATTTAATATATATTTCAAATTCAAAAAGGATTCAAATTCGACAGTATTTTTTATTATTTTTAACAAAGACATCCGTAACATTAGATACGTTGTAATTTTGATGATTACTTTTTTAACCGAACATTTCCTGTGACTTTAATTAGTTTATACATTTAATTTTAGTTTTTATATTTAAGAATAAATACAATAATGACGTATGTATTACTATGTATATTTACTGCACTGTTACTTTACAAATTATCACAATAATAGATTAGTAATAGAAAAAGTTTTTTAATTGTACCTACGAGTACGTTGCTATTTCAGTTACTTATAGTGTGCGCCGGGAATTTACTAATGTTCCGGACGAAAGATTATTTGAGGTAGGCCACGATAACAAAACAACGGATGGTATTATGTTTGAGTTCTTAGATCACTGCCATACATCTCTAGCTCAGATAATAACTGTAATTTGCTCCTTGTTACTGTTGACACACTTTATGATTGCCTATTACATAAGATCGGTACAGCAGTGTAGTATCTATAAAAGGAGTTAGCCGTATTAGTTTTAATGATAATAAATAGATTGATAGAATAAACTTTGGATTTCTTGGTAACTATATGAAGTACACAATAGTAATTTATTTTTATATGTTTTATGATTTAGAATCGTTTCAGAAAAAGCTTTTCATGATATTTCCTTTTAATTAAAAGATGTACAATTTCAATATTCGTTTTGAAAGGCTATGGTGTAAATGGAGCGATTTTTAGATCATATGATAACTTTGCCATGGATTTTGGGACCAAGATTGGAGTTTTTGCGTGATAGAATCCGAAATGAGGATTTCCGCAAAAGATCCAAAATTATTAACACAGCCCAAAGAATAAGCAAATTGAGGTGACATCGAGCTGGCTTGAAGAACTGACAACTGATAGGGAAGGTTTTAGAATAGCGACCGTGGGAGAGGCAAACGCAATGTAGGGTACCTTCCCATTAGATAGACTTACAACCTCAAATGCACTGCAGACTCCCTGAAGTCAGTAAATACAGTTGACTCAGCAGTGAACAGATAATGGCTGATATGATGATATTCGTAAGAATAAACCTTATCGATTGAAAAATAAAGAATAGGTGGAAGATAAAAATATGTCACAGTCCCTAATAATACTTACGGGACAGCTACAAAGCCATGATGAAAGAAATCAACTTTTATTTCATAGGAGCATAACGAAGCTCTATGGAGAGTTAAAATATATTAATTTAGTTATTTTGTTTATGAAATATCTATATCTTCCTTACTAAAGTTATACTTTCTTTATATTAAAGTTATACTTTTCTATATATATAAATTTTTGTAGATTGTTTTCTAAATGTACCTTAACTGTTCAATAATTCCTACTGAAATTTATATATATTATAGGAGTACAAGTAGAATTAAGCATTCTGTATGCCACAATGGACATATTTTTAACCAAATCGATAATATTCCAGCCATAAAGACCATGTTAATTTTAAATATTAAAACAAATCTCTGACTCTAACTCTTTACAAAACATTAAAACACTGAAACGTTTTACTTCATTTTCTTTACTGCTGTACCTTTAGATAGAAATTATAGTCCTTTATTTGAGCTGTTTCTATTTAGCAAGTTTTGTGACGCCAGTCGCACTAATACCTAATACTGTAACGATTACTTCATTTGAACGATAGAGACACGTCATTTGCTTTAGAATTAATGTAGGTACTTAGGTATTATGTATTTAGTCAGCTGTTAATTTCTGTAGGTTATTATACTATATAGATTATAAGTAATTTGTTTTGTTTATTCGTAATGCGATATGTATTTTGGCTTTTATGTCAATAATGCCGTGTGGTCCGGCATACAATAGGCCACCCCTTTCGTCCCTTGAGTGTCGTAAAAGGCGACCAAAGGATTTTACTGGTCGAAGGCTGGGCAGCAAGATTACTCTTAAAATATTACCAAAGCTTAACTGCGGTTGCCAATTAGTTTAGCAAGCGTGGTAATTACTGGCAAAACCCCCCAAAGGGGTGGTCTATATTCAGTAGTGGACAGTTAACGGCCAATAAAATGAAGATGATGTCAATATTTATTTTTTCTGTTTTGAAGGGTGGGTTATGGCTGTGAGATTTAATGGTGGTATAATATCATAATCCTCAGAAAGGCCAAATCATTAGGAGTTCCATATTTTATGTGATGTACATAGTGCTGCTCATGTTTATAAGTGGCAAATTGCTTAAGAAATATTATCAACGAATTCAAAGATTAACTAACATTTAGTACAAAGAATGTACGTTTTTTGTTGTTATAATCATTGTTATTCAATTATCACCCACGGGATTGTTGGCTGAAACCCACGCTCAAATGAAGTTTAGCGGACAAAGCGAGTGAACATAGCTCTAATTAACTACACAGATCGATTTCATGCCTACAGCTGATGAAAGGTTTTTGTTTGTATTTCTGTGAGTCAATTTATAAATGCATTCGTTTTGTAGTCTATTTCAATGGAACTTAATGAAAATGAAAACAAATGAATAATTGACCCGACCATAAACAGTCAGCTGATATTCAATAAGTAGTACAATTAAAAAGTCGATGAATTTTGATTAGATTTTTCGATTTGTTACTAATTGTAAGTAACACGTTAATAAAAAAGTTTTTTCAATATCACTTGTTAAATTGGCTTCTCGAATTTTGTTGTTAAACAAATATATAAATTTTAAAAAATTTCTTTTAATTTATTCGATGTGGACTAGTTGATTATGCCATTAATTGTCAAAAAAGTAACAAGGTTTTTGTTGAGTGTTAGTTCCCGCGGATGTTGTAAAAGCCGGTTAAAAAAATTTAATAGTCGAAGGATGGACAGCAGCGTCCCTCTTAAAACATCTCCAAGGTCTAACTGCAGTTGCCGTCTGTGAAACGTGGCAACTACTGGCAAAATCCCCTAATAGTGGGAGACTTATTTTCAGCAGTGGGCAATTAACGGCTAATATGGTATGGTATGGTTACTTCTAGAACTTGTTACTTTGAATGGACAATTTTTAAAATCATACTTCGTAACAGTATTATAAATATTGAAGTTTGTAAAGATACTCATATACAATCGTAGACAGCCATCATCAGTCCGACAGGTTCATCATCTAGCGCTAAAGCGCTGAAAGATGATGAACCTGTGTTAAAACACGCTTCCACATTCTTTTTTTTTAATTAATTAATACATATATGTATATATATATATATATATATATATATATATATATATATGTAATTATTTGATTATGGTATTATAATTTTGAGAAAAATAAACTATTACTATTTTTGATATTCAATAATAACAAATGATATTGATTAGTGGGATTTTTTTCATAAAATTTTGCTATCTATAAATCCGTGAATGTAAACAGTAAAGCGAGTGCTGTAGGCGGCGGCCGGTGGTGCTGGCGACCTCCACACCCACTACACAGGAACACATGTTTACATCTGCTACCAGATCCCCTTCATTTAATTACATTGGTGCGTTTATTTTTATAAATAACCGCTATGAAATAAATGGAAAAGGTAACAGTTCCTATAGATGTCAAAGAAGATACCGCTGTTTATTTATTTATTTCCATCCACGTTTACAATAATATAACATGACAGTAGTATAGTAAATTTGTTCTGTTCAATATTAAGAAAAAAATAATTTTGTCCGAATAAATAAATATGTTGTACCGTGTAGTTGTATATTTAGATACGCCAATACGAAAAGAATTCGCTCCATAAAATATTCTACAGAATAACCGGTTTCAACGACTTTTGGATATCTTTTTCGATATTGGATGAGTATAAAAAATTAAATTAACTTCGATATTTAAAGTGTTTCTGCTGTAAAATGTTTATATATATATATATATATATATATATATATATATATATATATATATATATATATATATATATATATATATATATATATATATATATAACAACACAAACACGTTTATGGCCGGGATTTTTAAATACCTACGCAAAATGGTCTATGCTCTACTTACCTGCCTTTAAATACAACATTGTAAATATTTAATTGTTTATATATAGGCAAGTATATCGAATAAGTTCATTGACTAGAAAATAACGACTTCTACTATTTCTATAGATGAAGATGACAATAAAAATTGTCAAGAATTATCTTTACCTATACAGCTGAAAATGTTAAGTTTACAAATAGGTCATTTAAATATTAATTACGTAAAAACTATTTTAAAATAAAAAAAATCTAATTGACAATTTAATTTTTTAGAGATTTTTATCTTTTCTTGCTATGATACGCGATTTTCCGGTAGTGTATTTTTCTCCTATAGATGTTATAAATTATAAAATAACACAAATGGCTTACCTTCCGTTAGGCCGTGGGGAAACTGATGGCGGCGTCGTAGTGGTAGTTGTAGTAACATCTTCGTGTGTAAGCTTTCGAAGGGTGCGAGGAGACAACGGGGTGCGCGGAGATTGCGGCTCGGGAGTAACTGTTCGCTCATCATCATCATCTTCTATAGGTCTATAGTTTCTGTCGTTTCCGAGCGCTCGCCTCACTAACTCGGGGCTGGCGAGACGATTAGAAGCTCGTAGCATGCCTGGTCGGAGGCCTGGTGCTCCGTACGTGAAAGGCGCGGAGTCAGCGCGCGCGTGGTACGGTATGTCGGAGGCTCGGTCGGCGTGCGACTGCGAGCCGCCGGACACGGGTGGCGGGTCGGGCAGCGCGCTCACCGTACGCAGCATATCGCCGAGTAGCGTGTCGAGCTCATCTGGCGGACTGGGGGCGGCGCGGCGCCCCGCTGACGATATGCCCGAGTCCATTGAGGCGCTAAGAGGCGAAGCAGGACCACCGCCGCCGCCCGCGCGCACCACTGTTGCGTAGATGGACCCGTCCAGAGGTCCAAACGTATGAGCGGCCTCACTCCCTTCGCCTGCCTCTCCGCTCGAACCTGAACCCTCAGCGCTGCCGTTGTTCTCGCCTGCACCAAAAATACCACCCCATATTTAAAAATCCAATACAATCATAATGATTGTCTAGAGACGACATGTTCAGGAACAGTAAGTATAAATTACAAATAGCTTTTAAATTGAATTCGATTTGCTCCAATAAACAAGACAAGTGGTAGCGATCTTATCTCAAACGTGTTTAATTTTCTTTAGTAGTGTGTGTTCTGAATCACTTAGCATATTTTATAACTAGTAATTGCAAATTATGACTAGCAACGATTTACACTTAGTACTCTAGGTGGAAGTAAACTATTAATTAACCGTTCGTCAGCTGTATTCAGTGGTCCGTGCAGTTACCTGTAACTGGAGAGTCGGTGTGTGACTGAATCCATAAAAGGATTACGTTTACATCCCGTTAACCTGCCAGATGTGCGACATCGTTATGTGAATCGATCACAAAAACCAACTTGCGGAGATTTCAAGTAATTATAATAAATGTAATAATTGTTTTAATAAGGGGTGAAAGGGATTGCTAATAATGTGGACTATCAGTCCCATTGCTAGCAATACCATATACCCTATCAGGTCTACCTCCACGTGGTCTCCTCTGGAAACCATCGTCCTTAATTCTAGGTGTATTCATCATGATAGGCTAACTGACCTGCCCTTTCATGTCACCTATCATCCCTCACTGGTGCCCCATCAGTGTATAGCGTTAGCGCAGTCGGGGTTACTATTCCATTATCATCCATTAAAAAAAAGTTGTGTTAATAACACAATTATTAGATTTATTGTAGAAATATATAAGTACAAATATGCACTTACTTATTTACATATAACACATTTAGAAACAGACAATATTTAAAATAAGGCAGTAGAGTAATTGTTATTATTAGAAATAATAACTATAAAAACTTATATATATATATATATAATATTATAATAATATATACGAGTATATATGAAAGTGTTATATGCACATCACAGCTATGCTAAATAAATGGTATCTTAATATATTTGCAACGCAAATTTTGTAGATAAATTATTAAATGCTTATGTTGTAAAATCTGAACAAAAATGCATTAATAAAAATAACATAATTTGATATGACGCAAAAACAGATAACCTCAATATGATTGTACAATCCTAAGTATCAGCGGAGGATAAGTACATTCGCAAGTTGGCGGTTCAAGGCGATATAGACTATTTAGGAAGTAGCCTCAAACCACGTCACATATCAACCGCTGTTGTTACTACATGTCTACTGTTTGGAATTCATTCGATTGACAGCATTACTGGTTATCTCTGTGAGTCTTTTAATAAAAGGAACATTAAGAAATTGTTTATTTTTTACTTACTATTACAAAAACGAAGATTTCTTTCTATTCGATTGTGTTTATGTATGAATCGTTATAATTTTGCGTAAAACGATTTTGATTATAAGTTTTATAATCTAAAGGGTTTAGATACTGTGTGTCAATTTTATTTCTTCAGGAGGTTTACAACTAGACTGTATTTTCAATCGACTTCAGAAAGAGGGTTCTCAATTCGCTTGTACTTTTTTATATTTGTTACCCCATCACTTCGCTTGTTGTAATCCAATCCAGTAAATTTATTATTTTATCTGAAAGGATATACTTCCCTACTACTACATACTTCTCCTAAGGAGATATTTCCCTATAATTCATACTTACTCCAGTTTTAGCCGCAGTGTATACATTGGTATCGTCTCCTTGTGGGGAAAATTACTTAATTTATAATAAGCAATTTAAGAAATCTTGATATCGTTTTTCTAAAGTACCTAAATATACTCGTAATTATAACTTTTACCTACAGGCAAAAATGAAATTCATTAATCCTTTTTATGAAGTAACTGTGTTTTACAAAGAATTAGTCCAAGCGCAAGGTCATGTCATGTAACGATGTATACCAATGTATACATACCCAATTTAATAAGCGAGGCTAAAGGAAAATAAGGTCGCAATCGCAATGGTTATGTAATTGTGGGATTTACCGGACTCAACGCCCCTCTTTTTTATTTTATTAATTGACAGAATAGAACCTATTGTGTCAATTAATAAATGAGAAGGTTAGAAAAAACTTCAATTCACATAAGAGTAACTTTGAAAATAGGTAGTTCTTGAAATGGCAATGATGTGTCACTGTTGGCACTAAATAATGAGAAATCCAATAATTTTAAAGTTCAATGATGAAACAAGTAAAACGCCTTCGTCAGCTACAGTTGAGTAGTCGCATTTCCGTGATTTGCAATTTGCATAATCGAACCCAAATGGTAAAATCATAAAAGTTTTGTTCGGGTGATTCGAGTATAATTAATCTTCGAATAATAGTATACCTACGTATACAATATTGTTGCCAATTATGGATCAACTTTAATTACATCATATTTAGAAATTTCACAAGTAAAAGAAATTTATATATAAATTTCCATACTTAGCAAATATCTAATTCGTTAAAACTGAAGTCGAAATTTCTTCAAAGAGAATATTAATTTCAATTATTGTATCAATCATCACATGTTTAAATTTTGTAGAAATTTATGTGTTTCGAAAGTAGACAGCGGGCACCAGCGATGGTACCTACCTAATAGCGGTGTCGTACGTTAGTTTCGAAACAGAACTAAAAGTGAGGTTGTCAATAACGCAATTAGTGTAAAGATATCAACGTCAGCGTCTGGTGGCCGTCGACGTCGCCCGATGTTAAGGAAGATGTGGTTATTTCTGTAATGTCAACGAAAATAACGCGGCTCGGTTCAGCGCGAGCTACTGTTACGAAATATGCGCCGGCGCAGGAAGAGGATGTGCGCCCTGCGACCGTCGCCCAAGCCCTGCGCGCTTTGTACGCGCATTCTAATGGTTAACGTCAGTTGTAATAGTAACTATCACAGATATGGATTTAGGATTTTAATAGTAACATCATCTATTTTGTATTTTTTAATTCTAAATTATACTAAATGAACCTTAAAAATTCCTCTAAGTACCAATCACTATGTAGAATATGGTACCTCTATATATTATTTGTTTGATATCTTATATCTCTAAAATGAAACCTTAATTTAGTATATTATATTTCTTTATGCAATTTTAGAAAGTATGTCTTTTTATGCAGAAATGAATTAAATTGTCTAGAATATAATATTTTTTTGTTAAGTAAATACCAAAGTAGTTATGACTTATTGTATATATATAATATTGTTTTTGTCCATTTAATTTATTAATAACCATTTAAAAAAAATAGCTGATGTTATTTACTAAATACCTATGTCACACAAAAAAGACTATTCGAGAACATCGTAAGTAGGGACTTATCATCAGTGTTTTTGCTCCATACTAAACATTTGTAGACCTTTAAACGATGTGATGTGACTTCTAAATGATATATGAACCGATTTAGATTTAGTGCTTTACTTGCGAATTTACTGAATCCTTATTTTTAAACTTAACATTTACATATAATATCTAATATTATAATAATTAACACTGCCTGTTCTAAATATTTAACAACGAGACATGAGTCGTGGATGTCGACAGGCTTTTTAGTTCGTTAACTAATGAAAATGAGCGTGTCCGAATACAATGATGCCTTAGATTTGACGCGCACCTGTCACGCCCCCTTTACGAAGATTTTGTTAATAGAGATAACACATTATTTTCCGATTAGTTAATATATAAATATATAACTGTTGCAAGAATGACGCTGTATGGTATGAAGGTGAACGTGTGTTCACGTCGGGTCACAATGATGTCATCAGGCCGCTCCACCTTGTGTTTCTACGAAGCGAAACTCAGTATTATTATTTAAACCGCTTCCCTATCTCTGTTCTTTATAGTTGTTAGCTTCAAAATGTACAGATATTTTACTTTGGTTACTTTGGTCAGATTTTAAGTTATATATATATATATATAATAGTCTTTAGAAAAAAATATTATTTAACTGACATTAGTTCATAACACTGTGTATCCTACCATAAGGACCACATGGTTTGTGACCACACAATCACAACAACCATCTTATTATTATTATATCTTAACTAGTACCAACTTCTTATTATTAATTACATGTAATAATTATATATTATTATTTTATGACATTTAATTTATAAATATTTGTCTTTAAATATATAATCATATAAATTACTAATTGTTGCAGAATAAAAATAATAAGACAAACTACATATTTCCTACATTTATTTCAGTTTCAGTACTTGTTTTTTTTATGTTTATGTGGCTATATCAAAAAAAGATCGGTGAAAATTTTTCTTATACACTTACCTAAATGTTGATGTAGCGTCATGACAATGTCTAAACACTATTAAAAGACATTTAATTGGGTCATTCAGCCGAATGAGTAGATTACCTAAATTGAACGTAACGGACAGGATCAAGCACGTTTACGACGCGTCCACGTAACTCCACTTACAAACGCAACTGTCAGTAAAAGCTCGAGATAAAGTGCTGATTATAGAATATAGTGTTTCATAAGAATTAGGCAAAATTTTGATAAAATAATACATTTTTTATAATCTATCCCATATATTAGGTTGAAAGCTTACGTGACAAAAATAATTGAAATTCGAAATCGTCGATGTAATCACTTATAATTTGAGCCAGTTGAAAGTCCTCTTTTTGAACGTCAAAAAATATATATAAATACATTAATTGGATGTTCTACATATGTATAGTTATATTTTTATTTAGATATTTTTATTTTAATAATATTAAATGATAAAATAATAATATTAAAGTATCAAAATAAAGGTACCAGTGGCAGATGTTGTATAATACTTATTTATTTAAATAACATTACTGTAAAAGTACAAAACGCGGACTTAGTGCTAGTAGCATTCTCTAGCTGTCAACCTACTTGGGTATTTTTCTATCGTTAACGTTTCTTTCACCGAGCATTTGTGATTACATGGCTGTGTACAAGTTTAAAGATTATGAGATTATAGAGATGAAATTATAGTATCTACACGAAGATATATCATAGTCTTCAGGTATAATATCGTGTA